CCAGATAGAATTTTCTCAAAGTATTGCTGGGGAATAAAAGTATCACCATCCGATCCAGAATTAAATTCTGCATCGAATTATCTAGTTTTTATGGGCCGGCAATACTTCTGAGAAGACTTATAGTTGAATCTCTGTTTCATCGTGCTAGCTCCGTCGTGCTAGCTTCACACTGATAGCAGAGCAATGGGTGATAACGATACATGATAAAAACTTCGCGGGACGTTTTAGTAAATTGATTTGTCCCGTCCCGCAGATAGCTAGGATTTCGGTTCCGTCCCGTCCCACGATTTTCACTACTTATTGTCTCGTCCCGGGACGGGATTTGGTGGGATAGTCGCGCATCCCGCGGAGCTCTGGCAGATGCAGCCTCGTGAACTCATCCTCTGCTAGATTTATTACGTTTTTTCGTCTTCTTTCAAACGACTAGTGATAAAATGCATCTTGCTTTTTGTTCTAATGTGCTCCTTGAAATATCTAGGTTATATTTGTTTTAATGTGTGTCAAAAGTTTGAACAAAGATTCTTATAAGATTTAAATTCTTCACCATTGCTAAATTGTGATTTATTTCCGTCGTAGAAGACATGACTTCAAAAATGAATTCTTACGTAGAAAACTAATTACATTATAATATTGAACTTACTACTCGAAATATGTTCTTTAGGTTTGCGCAATTCCTTTATGTATATTTCTAAAGCAGATTTTTAGCTCCTTAACTTTTCTGATTCGCGAAGTAGTCGGGTCAATCGGAAGTTATTTTGCGAAGCGCGTTTTACTGCCGGAAACTTCTTTTTCTTTTTAAATAGAAATCGAACCGAAATATCTGGGTTACTTCGTATGGTTAATGAACCGCGATAGTTGCCAGAACAAATTAACTATCAACATGTTCAAGAGACTGAGAATAAAATTCAATTCTAACTAATCAACAGAAATCATGAAACAATGTTTATGTCAGATAATTTCTATTTGTCAAACAGTTTTTAATTAAACTATCGATCACACATTTATTTTCAAAGCTCTAAATTGACTTTCAAAATTTTAAGAACAATCTATTTATATACGTTTCAAAAAACTGTTCGAAATAAGCTTCAAACCTGTGAAGGATCTTCATTTCGATTTCTGTCGACAACTAAATATTATCGAAAATTACATATTTTTATTTCCAGTTTAGCATTCATCTAATGACTCATATATATTTGCATATCGTCCGTGTTTTTAATTTTAGGAACTCTACTGGCAATTTTTCACAACTCCAAAACGGAACTAAATAAAAGAAAGTTTTATCAACCTGACACCATTATTTACGGCTTCGTTGCAGTAAAAATGTCCGATATATCTGCTTTATGACGTGACCTAACAAGGGGATGTCCATAAATACCAAATGACCGAACTCTTTAACTTCTATTATGGATGTTGTATGTTAGTAGTACGTAATATTTTATTACACAAGCATTTTTTCTCTCCCATTTCTTTGCCGACGCTCTGAAAATGCTCGTCTTTTTTTTGAAAGTCTTTGTAGTAATATTCATTTCACGAGTAGTTCAATTTCATTAATTGTATCATTTACCTTATGTTTATCTTGACTCCATCTATGACCGTATAAAGCTAAACGTAACTAGTATAAATAAAACTTTTCTTCGTTTTCGAAAAAACTCTATTCAATGTTAGTGAAAACAAATGACTAATTTTTATGAATTAAATAAATGTCTCATGGGTATGCGACATAGTATTAGCGGAAATTTTTCATCGTCAAGCAAAAAAAATAATTCTCTTGGAAAATTTTCTTATTGGCTAGATAAATTTCAGTTTGTACCGGTAAAAACGGACTGCTGTGTGGGAGCGTTAAAACATTGTTTCTATTGCGTATGAAACCATTAGAATAAGTTCAATCATTTCTGTGAATAATTATGCAAAACAAATACGCAATAAGAACTAACGTATTCTCAAGGTATTTTCTATACAAAGAAAATATCGGAGACCACCTTTTGTTTCGTTAAATAAAATATGTTCTCTATCCTAACTACCACCTGCGATGAATGTTTCATTTTGTTTTTATCATTTCACAGAAAAGGAAAGTCGAGATAACTAGTTTTTAGTATAGCTTTTTGAACATCAGCAATCAAAGAGCTTACCAGGAAATTTTTATAGATTTTTGTTCAATTCATAACATCAAGCTGCGCTAATTCTCAAAAGCGAAAGAAATCTCTTCTCAACTAAATCTAATAAACTATCCATACTTGAAAGAATATTTTACAAAACCAACATTTATATAATCCTGAGAATTAAGCAAAGATTATAGATATAAGAAGATTCTAAACGAAAATTAAATTATAATTACACAGGAACTGCTGTATATGAGCATTGCATTGCACTGTATGATCTTTAGTTTGGCAATGCGACCTTTTCTAGAAATTCTTCTGGCTCTTAGTAGTTGATGTTTACATCTCGTTCCATAAATATTAATAGTCACTTTAATGTAAATACTGTTCATTCTATTTCAGTCACGTACAGAAGAAAAAATAATGATTTTTATATCTACTGCGTTCTGGCAAACAATCACGCGACACACTGGAATAACTAATAAATTAATAGACTTACTGTAGGTATTCGAATGAGAGAACAAAGTAATATCTGACAGTAACAAAATGCTTACTTTAGCATTTTCATTATCTTTATGCTAATAGTAAGTAAAACGAAAATTATGTCAAGGTACACAGATATATACTGATAAAAAATTCTAGTCAATCAATTATTTGATAAAAACCGAGCTACTAAAACCGACCGGCTGTTGCAGTTCAGCACTCATACGTTTTACAGATGAAACTAAAAAGCTTTTAATAATGCATATTAACGTATATTAAGTAATATGGACTACTCCTACACGAGATATGTTTTTCACTAGTTTGTAAATCCATTGAATAATAAATCTTTAAAATCATGGTGAAGTTCATATCATAAATTTCTTATTTTTACAGCGATATTTATTAAGGCTCAATCATTTGTTTTGTATCTTGTAGTAGCTATACATTTCCAATAAACATCGTTCTTTTGTTGAGTATTAAAAAACGCTTCATGGATTACTCTTCGCTTTCAGTTAGATAATGCCATTTGATTTCCTTATAAGATCAAGCTGAAACGTCAACTAAAAGATCAAATCTATAATCGACTAATTGAGTCTGCTCTGATCCCTTCCAGACGAGCCAAACCACCTCCTGAAATAATAAATCATTAAACAATAAGAAAGAAGAATGTCACTATTCATCTATATTTCTTCTGTTCTTTGTTTTGCCATTTTAGAATTCACCCTTCAATTTGTTGATAGCAATTGTATTGACTTTTCTTTTAATTTGGAAATCCTTGATTTTCTTTGTTTCAAACAAATGAAATAAACTATTTTTCAAGCTTGCTTCTTTTATGCCGATTGTTAAAACGTTCTATTAATGTACTGCATGCGTAAAAAAGCAAGTAAATAACTAGGTTCTATTCTGATTAAACATAAGGACAATTGCTTGAAGCGAAAGAAGTAACATAAGGAAGGAGAAAAAAAAAGAAAATGCTTCCTAGGAACAAATGAATTTGTCTATCTTCAGTAGATTTCTTTTTGCCACAAAATATTTCTCGCGATTGAATGATTTATCTAAAACGATGGGTAAGCTTGTATTTTTATGGAAAAAAAAAAGAAGATGATTATCTCTCATGTACAATAACAGAAAAGGCTATCGATGTTTTTTCGAATGTCGATCCATAAAAATATTGATTGAAACATAAATTTGATTGTATTTCATAAAGATTGACAGATAATAAATGATTTGCTTTGCTAGGGAGCATTTCTAAATATGACGAACAATTGATTTTAGGCTCATTCGCTAATGAAACTTTTACGCTAGAAAAATATTGACTCATGTTTTTTTACCATAGGCTCTCTATTATCGATATAGAATTAAAACGTTTGACATATCCAATCAATAGCCGATTTGTAAAAGTCGGAGAAATGAAAAGCATCTGGTAGGAATTTTTTTAGTGTTTCCTGTAGAAATATCGAGAGAGAAAAAAATCCATTTCGTAATAATTTTTTGTCATTGATAGTTTGCTTTTCTCGATAACGCATTATATCAAAGTGTTTAGATTAAATTCAATATTTACAGTAATCTCGTTATTATTAGACTTTCCATCCGACTTCATGATAATAAGCTGTCACCAAGCGCAAAGCAGCTTGAGAAAAACAGGATTTTTTAAAATCCATTAAAAGAGTAGACAGGTGTTCAAATAAAAGTCTTTTGCTTCGAACTTCAATGTTAGTTACCTTGGAAAGATCATGATACTTCAAGGTATGACGTTCTCGTCCGTATTCATATTTAGCCATGTAGGTTTTTTAGTGTCAGATACAATCAGCATATGCTAGCAGGAGTCAATAAATGGCCTATCCAGTCTAATGATTAAGCTATGCTAATCTGGTATATAGACATTTTTCCAATTTGACATCGATAAGAAAAGCAAATATAAAGTTGAAGAGTAAAGTCAATAGTTTTCTAGTTCATAAGAAAAGCAGCTCGCTCTTTATTACAACTTTATTTTCCTACGTGGGGAAAAACCCTGACGAAAGAAAATATTTTGAACAATTTATGATGTAGCATATTTTATTACTAAATGCTCATTTTCTCTTGTTCTATTAATGACTTCTCGAATTGCTGTAATAAGAAATGTTTGCACATTGCAGATAAGATTCTATGTTTTCCTTATATATCATAGCGGATCTGATTTTCCTGCATTTTCTCTCCTAATCATTTCAGTTCATCGTAGGTCCGACGAGTGATAGTGGGCGTTTTTTTTTCTATAAATTTTCATACTCTATTATAAGATTGAGAAATGAATGAGTATAAACTATGACTAGAATATATTAGAATAATAATAAAAAAACCCGAATTCGTTGTTGCATACATATGTTAATTGTTTAAATTAATAATATCGATAGGCATTAATTTTTCTAGTGAATTCAACGTAAAATGGATGCAGTGAACGCTGTTGCGCATCAGTTAATGATTATACTTGGTATAATTATGTTTATATTTGGTTTAATCGGCAACATTTTAAATATCTACGTATTTTTATCGTGGTGTCGTTTAAAGAAAAAATCAAGAAGAAGATCTCGCAATGCTCGATCAAGCAATAGCTCGTTATATTTACTTACATCATCTATATCGAATTTAATCATTATTATTTTTCCATTTCTGACTCGAATCATATTCGATGGCTTTCAATATTCATTAAATCAGAGAAATGGTTTTATTTTATGTAAATTACGTTATTATGTATTACATACATTCGATTTAACATCATTAACGTGCATTTGTATGGCTACATTCGATCGTTATTTAATTTCCTCTCGACAAGTTCGTTTAAGACATATGAGTACTGTAAGAAAACGAACAAAACAAGTTATTCTATTTGTTATCACGCTAAACATTCTACACAGCATTCCAATAGGATTTTTTTTCGACGTTTCAAATCAAGGTCGATGTACAATACTATCGAGAAAGTTTCTTTATTATTATTTATGGACTTTTCAAATATGTTTTCATAGTTTAATTCCAATTTTATTTCTTACAATATTCGGGGTATTAACATATCGACAATTGAAAAAAATCAAACGAACTAAACGCAAAGGAGTATTAGGTAGTGATAAACGTCTGTCTCGTATGTTACTGTTAATGTCAGCCGCAATCGTGTTATCATCAATACCATATTGTATCGAACATGTTTATAATGTATTGATAAGAAAAGATCCTTTTAAACAACCATCATACATCTATCTCTATCATGTTATTACTTCAATATTATTTTATACAAATCCTGTGACGAGTTTTTACATATTTTTTATTTCGACACCGAATTTTCGAAAGCAAGTGCGAAAATTATTTTTTTGTACAAGTTCGGATTGTAATTACGACACTGAGTCATTTACTATGATAACTACTCTACATAATTCACATGAATAAAAGCAAAGGCTTCGTGCGAAACTATTTCTATGGAAGAAAAGTAAAGCAAGATAAAGTATCATTGCAACTTCTAAAATAATTATATTTGGCATTCTTGTATTTATTTTCCATTTGGCAGTTAGATACAATCTGAAAATATGCCTCACGACAGAGCGAGAAAAAAATTCAAGCAGCATTTTTTCTTTTACAATAGAACAAAGAAGATAGCTCCAGCATAGATATTGATTATGCTAATATTATCTCAACCATCATTTCTAAGCTCGAAAGAATGTGTCTATTCACAAAAATATCAATCGAGTTTATTTTCTCCCAATGAATATTTACACAAGCGAATACTGTGAATAATAAAGAAAATTAATTTTTTAATTTTTATCTCTCTCGCTCAATATTCGAATCATATGACGTCGAAAAAACCATTGAGACAAGCAAATATTCTTGTTGCTCTCTGACAGATAGAAGATTCATGAGGACTTTGGCCTTTAGAAGTGCACTAATCAGATTAATTAAGTTTGCTGACGTTCTATAAGGCTAATATTTAGAAATATTGAGTAGGCATGATTGCCATTGTTGATTGATTAGTGAATTGTCTAAATCGCGTAAGAACTCTCATGGGTCTATATTTTATTAAAAGTGATCGTTCATGTATTCAAATGAATACGATAGTTTAACGAAATAAAATCTCGATTGAAACTCGATTGATTTCGTCAGACATGTGATTTATGATTTGGTCTTTTCCACTGAAAAAGTCTATAATAATTTGCTTAGTACTATTGTAAATAGTTATGTTTATATTTGATTTCGCTGGAAATTCTCTTTGTCTATGGTCTAGTTTGACAATAGTTAGTAATTGTTTATTACATTGGCGTGGTTTTTGTATATTCTATTTAATAGGGATTTTCTTATTTTCAATCTTTCATATATACTTCGGATGTATGAACAAAAGCCGAACGAAAAAATAATTATTGTTCGTTTAAATAACTTTGGATATGGGTATTGACTCTTTCATCAGCAAAGCTCACACAATCCCATTGTGCGGGCACTAATGAAAACACGACAAAAATACATCTAACTATCAATCAAGTGAAGCAATCGTTCATTGAGCCGTAGCCTGACTATATATTTGATTTAGTGATGAATATGTTTTCGAGATTTTCTTGAAGACTATTTCTATATCGTTGTTTTTTACAGGAAAGATTCCTTCAGTGTAGTAGATTTTTGTCATTGGATTTGATGAAGACACAAAATCTAGTCATTTTACATTTTAATGTGAATGGCAGTTCGAACTATGCTTGATATTATCATTGACAAATTTGAACATGTTGTAATATCTGAAAGAAATATCTACAATATAGATCAATACAAAAGAAGAAATTAGTGCACAGCCGACATAGAATACTCGAAGTACACATGACTTTACTTCTCAATCGTTTGCTTAACACTGATGAATATATTTTAAAAAAAGTTAGCTTTCGATACGTATCAATTTTGGTCGGTGTTAAACTTTTGTGCCCGATGATCTTCATATTCAACGACATAAAGATTATTCTCTCGGCCGAGAGATAAACCAGCGGGATAGTGGAGTGGATTGCAGTGATTTGCATCAGTATTTTCAACAATGATAACATATTCTTGTGTTGCCCCTTGAGACTAATGCATTATCCGATGATTTCCCTCATCAACCACATAGACATTACCAGACGGACCTACACTTATGCCACAAGGATTTGATAATTCTGTGAGACTATTTCCTTCGCCTAGCCTCCCTGCCACAACGGTGCCTTCTTTTTGCACCTTTCTTCCATTTCATTATCCGATGGTTACATTCGTCGGATACGTAAACTGTTTGATCTAGATCGATAAAAATGTGCCTTGCATAACACAATTGATCAAGTTCATGATCTCCATCGGCTACCAATGTTTCTTTACTTTCTCCTATTAGAATTATTATAATCAAGAACATAGAGAAATTCATCATTATCAAATGCTGAACTCCAACATCCAACACTTGAACTGATCGTTTCTCCACTGGTACCATTTTGACGAGGCCATCGAACTACTCTTTTATTACCATAATCGCAAATAGTAAGACTATCTGTTTCTTTATGAATAATCATGCTCGTTGGAGAATTCAATTGGCAGTGATAGTCTACCTTATTGGTTATATAAAAGAGTGAATTAGCAAAACAATGCTTCAGTTTATTTATTATGTGAAAATTCTTTTTCAGAAGTGATGTTTCAATTTAATTGTAACAACAATTCAATTCGAAGTGACATGATATAGAAATCCATAGAACCCATTTAAAATCGCACGTGTTAGATATCAGAAAGTATTTATAGAATTTGATTAAAAGAAGAAAAAAAAAATAATAAAGAATTCTTTTATGTCGATCGAATCGTAGTCTGTTATTTGGGGTTTTTAATATAAATTCAATGAATCTCTTGATGTCAAACGTCAATTAATAACTTTTTATCTTAAAGTGGAATGTGAATTAATTTTCTTCCATATCTTAGGCTGAATGTACTCACCGGTTTCTTTTTCTTTGCCAAATTCTCGAATATGAGTAATTGGATCCCAATCAATTTTATCATTATACACAACGATGGATTTCTCTTTATCTTCCCCCAGTAAATTCTTCCAATTTCTTTTGGACTTCATCAAATTGATGTTGTAATCGATCAATATCTGTTTCAAGAAAATGTTTTTCTTTTCGACGACAACGAATTTATTTTGTTATCGGTTCAAGTTGTTTTGCTTTTTCTACTCTTTCGTTATTGATGAGTTCGATGAGTTGATGATGTAATTTTTCTGATACTTTTCCTACTATGTTTACTGTTGTGTTTTTTCATGGATCGATTTGATCAAAAGTATTCAATGATAGATAATCTAATTTTTCGAAATTGTATATTTGATCAAGAAGTTTATCATGAGAACTCGTCATTTTGTTAGTGAATTCAATCGACAGTTGTTCTTCATGCTCTTTAAAATCGTTCTTTTATCCAATGCACAAACATCTTGCTGAGGGTTTATTACAAGTTGAACATAAATTAAAATCGGTGTCTACCGACATTTTTCTCGTAGAATAAATCAAATCACTACAAATCTAAAATGAATTCATATAAACTTTTATCAAGAAAAACTCATTTTTATGAGTTAAAACGAGTCTCATTCGGCTACATATTCGTCGTCATTAGATTCTTAAATGACGATGGTATTAATCACACCAAGGCGTATGAAATCTTTGACCTGTTTCATGTTTTAAGAAGACGAACGATTGACAGAAGTCACAACGCAATAAAACGCTAGTTCACTGAACTAAATTTGTTTTTTAAGTTTGAAACTATATCAGGATTTTCTGAAGTCTTCCATTTTTTTTCTTCGTAGGAAAATGTGCATGAATAAGAGTATAAGTGAAGATATGTGATGTATATATCCGTCTTGAGAGAGACTTGAGCTTAATTTAGAAATAAACCACTACACACTGTAATGATAAATAAGACTCTGTTGAGTTTATATCGTAATGACAAACTGGATAGAGGTGAAGTGGTTTACCGCCACTCATGACAATGATGTTTATTCGCTTCTTCACATATCCAGAATGTAACAACTTCATACGTAATACACGTATATATAGGAGAGAAATAGAAGAGATATATATTAGAACAATGGAAAGAGAACAGAAAGAGAAGGAAGGAGAATCATCAAAGCGTGCCATCAATATCGGCAGAGTAACTAGCTCAGGGTACCATTACAGGCATAAGCAAATAGATAATGACCTAATTATAAGTTTTGGAAATAAAGGTAGATTTTTCAGATGAACTATTTTGAATTATTTTAGTAAGTCGAAGGGATATATGTGAGTTCCACATTTTAGCCCTAAAGGGGCTGCGCTAACAAGCTTTTTTGCAGTAATTATGTCGTGTTTCACATTTTTAATCCCAAAGGGATTGCGCTAACAACTTTTTTATACGATGCAGTTGGGACAAGAGAAATCCTACGAAGACTATGAAAACACAAATTGCTGAATATATTTAATCACACTATCCCTTTTGGTTTAAGGACGAATACTTGCTTTGATGCTGCATAAAAACTACATGATAAAGGAAGTGATAATACGATTGTATGGCACGAAAACAATTTTCAGTTATCTAGAAGTTCTTTTTTCTTTTGGGGTTGACAAAAAAGAATGAAATACCTTACTTGTCTCTGATAAGGTAAACCCTAGTCAACTCTCCCTAGAAGAATCCCCAGGGAGTCCCCTAACAAATCCCCGGGGACTCGCGACAGGGAGTCCCTAGGGATTTCGTTCTTTTGCGGGGACTCCCTGGGGACTCCCCGGGGAGTTATCTGGTCAAAATCGATGAAATATCTAATTACAAATAAATTCTTCTTAATTTTTTAAAAATTAAAAAAATTAAAAAGCTTTTTTTTATTTTAAAAAATTTCATCAATTCTCCCCAGAGAAATCCCCGGGGAGTCCCCCAAATAAAAAGTCCCCGGGGACTCACGACAGGGACTCCCCAGGGATTTCGTTATTTTATGGGGACTCCCCGGGGAATCGTTGGGGGAGAGTCGATTAGGGAAATACGATTCAAGATTCCTACAGAATTCTACTTACTTGTTGTGTGCATGGGTCGTTTCAACATTCAACTACGATGAAAAACAGCTTCCATTAAGTTCAAAACAAGATTTTCAAAAACAAAATCGTTTACCAATAAAACATCGAATTTTAGTTATTCTCGCAAGGCAAGTGAGATTGCATACATGATCGAATATGTATTTTTCGTTCTATGCAAGTGTCGAAATAGGTTTTTTGATCCATTCATAATGATAAAAAAAAGTAATTTATGTTGTTTATTTTCTTCCTTGTCATGTGTGTCTTGCAAAACGAAAACAAAATTTTCTGTAGTTGAAAAGCATGATTCAGTTTTCGAAATGAAATCTAAAATTGAATGTTTTCTACAGAAAAACTTGCTTTTAAAAATTAGATAAATCTGTTTCGAGGAAACTTGATTTTCCCAATCGATTCCATTCACGCCCCGTTCAACTAAACAAATTGCTTCTGTTTTATCTAGAGCCCAGCGGTTCTATCCGATACCCGGAACAGGAACCGAAACCGGAATCACGGTTCCGGTTCCGAAGAATTAAAAAAAACGGTTCTGATTTCGATTCTTAAAAAATCTTTGGAATCGTTGTTTTTCAAAAAACAAAGAAAAAAAGGAAATAAGAAAATCAGTATAGTACAATATGTTCACATAAAAATATTTATCAATTAATTAATTAACACTAAAACTCGTCGTTTTCTTTATCGTAACTTCATGAAGTTACGAAAATTATAAAAAATAGATGACTCTAGTTATCAGTAAAAAAAATGACGGTTCCGGTTCCAACCTCTTTTTATCATGGTTCCGGGTAACATAATCTTGAAAAATCGGTTCTCGGTTCTTTTTTTTCGGGAAGCGCTGGGCTCTAGTTTTATCTCGAGCAGAATAAAAAAATCAGCTCTTGAAGTGAGTATTTTATTGATGAATTCGATGAACTCATATCTATGTTTAAAGAAGCATTTTCAGACAATCTTAAAAACAAAATTAATATTTGATACAAATTCAAGAAATAGGCATGAGAAATTCAACCTATCACCGATGATGAATTAGCTGTCGCAATAAAAGAGGCCAGCCTATTGTCATGCATAAAATAAAACTGAAATCATCCGCAACATCGACATATAATTAAAAGGCTAGTTTAACGTGTCAAACTACTGCGTAGTTACTCGTAAATGATTGATTTTAATATGATAAATAAAACTATTTTGTTCGATTTGACTAAATTGAAATAAATGAATCCCACGGTGTATATATATGTAGCACTTGCTGATCTACACAGAATTCAAAAATCAATTGATGTTGTTCTTCGTTCTCCTTCAGGAAAATGGAATTTGAATATGCCGTGTTAACGAAGAAAGAAAAAAAGTTGACTTTTGTTTTGCATGAATGAAAAAAACTCGATGGATAATTTCATTTCTCTCTCTCAGCAAACAACTAAACGTTTGATTGAAACTACGAATGGATTGAGTGTAACCAAGACGGAGTCGAATGTCGCTTTATTTTTGGTGTGCAAACTAGTGTTTGCGTTCTTAATTCATATTCTTGTTTTGATATATAGACTGCGTCGCTACTGCTGAAAATGCATACTCTCGTTTTAGAGATGATCAATCTCCTTCAATTTCTTCAGATATTAGTACCATAAATATTCGATAATGGGTGGTAGCTCAAGCATCAACACCCCTGTTGAACCTAGGAAAAATTCGACAGCGCTCAGGGAGCCAGTAAGTGAAGCCAAAAAGAAAATACAAAAGCAGGAGCAATCAACCAATGATCTACGACGTCAAGAAATGCAAGCAGAACAAAAACAACAAAAATTAGAAAAGCCGTTAAACTGGCCACTACCAAAAAGAGAAAAAGAGAAAGACTTCGTCGTAAATAGTCTTCCAATGAATAAACGTTATACAGTATCTGAAAATCAGTATAATTACGTAAGTTGATAATGTTTATTTATTTGTACATGTTCAAGTTCAGTACCTACCCTTGAATATGAACCTTTAAGCTACTCGTGCTGGTGTTTGCTAAGATTGAAGCAGTGTTTGTTTCGAGCAATATTCGAACACATCTAGAAGATGCGAAAAATAACTTTTCTTTAAAACGAATTATTAATGAGAGCGTTCTAGTGCAACATTCGTCCCAATCAAATTACACAATCAGGGATTTCAGTACCAAAAGTAGCTCATGCATCTACTATATGAGTACGTGTATCCGTATAGATTACATAATGTGTCACCTATCAATATGAGAGGCTAAATAGTCAAAATAGAAAACTAGTCTACTTTGTCTGATGAGTCATAATAAACTTATGATAGATTTTATTTTTCATGTTCAGAATGAAGCGATAGTTCAACGTTCCATAAAAGCTACGACAGTTAATTTCCGGCCTACACAAAAGACGATGACAAAAACAACGGACGATGGCGATTCAAATGTCCATGAGTCGGCGCGTGCTCAGTTAATAATGCAGGCTAAAACTGATCTATGGGCTGGAATATCATCTTCAGCCGAAATGCAAAATCTACTAGCCTCGCTGAACGTTACTCATATGGAGTCAAGTGAAATCATTCAGCAGCGGTTGCATGGATTATCGAGAGAAGCCGAACGAGTAATGGGATTGATTATCAACGATACGATTGATGAACAAAATCGATTATTGGAGTACGCACAAGAAATACAGGCAAGACAAGAAGAGTTGCATCGCGAATGGTTACAGAAATATCTCCTAGAACTAGATCGATGGCGATCTCACGAGCTAGAGCAATTACACGAGAAAATAGATGGCTACAAAGAAACTATAAATTTAGTTGCTTATAAAAAACTTGCCTTCGTCAATCAACAAGTGAAATCAGCTAAATCATATATTTTTCAAGATGAATACAATAGACAAACGGAAAAAGCAGATCGAATCGTCTCAGATATGGAGAAACTTTCGCGACAACATGATATGCAACAATTCGGAACAGAAGCCAAAACAGATATCCATCTGAAAATACAAGGCAACGGTGGTAACAAACCAATGAATGAAAAAGCACCATTCTACGATCCATTTGTACTCAAACGAGAATATGTAAACCAACGAATGCTTACCGATCAGTAATACAAGTGAGGTATCCAAGCAATGGAAACAATTTTGTGTGTGTGTGTCATATTATGAGGTTTAATTACGGATCGCATTGTAATACTGTAAGCTTACTCATATTCAGCAGTGAGATATTTTGTTACAATTTTTAAATCAATATCAAAATTCAAGTGTTTCAGTTCTAATAGGAATCTTGCTTGTCTATTTTTAATCTTAAAGAGTCTTCCATCAATGAATCAATTAGAGAGAAAAACGACACTCAGTAATTGAGAACATCTACTAAAGGAGAACAAAAGTTCAATAGCAACCGATATACTCAATCATAATAACTTGTAAACAGTTTTTAACAACAACAAGCTGCTCTTGCTACGTAGAATAGGATTTCTGTGATTATTTTTTATTATAAGAAGCTCAATCTGATTTTCATTTGAGAAAATACTGTTTGTCAGCACATATTTAGATTGAGATCGATTTCTAACGAAGATGGTGAATGTGGCAGCAAAATACATTCACATTTTCAACATAAATAAAATTATAACCAGTCGTCATAAACGACTAAACTGTTCATTGTATAGAAAATTTTCGTTAGTAAATCGAAATTATGTTTCAGAATCCTTACTAAATTACAATGCCAAGCTAATTTAATCATGAGTTGATTTGTGTTTGTAAAGAATTCAAACATTCGATCGAACATATTCTTCTTTAACTAAAATACGAAAAATCGATGGTTGTTTTTTTTCTTCAAAACAAAACCGAATCGATTCTATACTTCGAATGATTAGAAATAAATACTAATTATTATTAAACAATGAATTGATTATTTAATCAATCGAAAACGATTTTTTTTTCAATATGACTAGCAAACTTTCTTTCATCCATCGAATCAGATACTGACTTGAGAAATATACAATTGAGATGCTAAGAATTTCTCATCTTGATATGAATCAACTAATATTAGTCTAATTTTATTTTCGATTGAAATACTAATTAGCTCTCCATGAGAGATCTGAAATTGCTAAAAGACTATTCATTCAAGTCTACTAGAAGATTTAGCAGACATTTGCTTTACTCAAAAACAAACACTTTAACGTTGATAACTATCATTTTAAGACATGACTAAGTTTCGAATGGATCGAAGCTTCCATTATGTGGAAATTATTTATTTATGTAGCAAGTTACCCTAATTACAACACTAAAACAATGACATGATTTGATTGATTCGCTGTGCAGCTATTTTACACTCGATTGAAATTATTCTTACATATGCATAATCCTTGGAATGCCCCATTTCGAATGGTGAAACAGCCACCTTTAACTGAACTGTAGTGGCGGAGATATCAGTGGTCTACGACAAGGACCTACATCTGTTGTTGTTAGGACTCATTTCCCTAATAACAACACTAATAAAATTCAAGCAAATTTTGTAGAGCGTGTCAAATTCTCCTATTGGCCAAAGGTTCGTGAGAACTCCATGTTGGCTTCGGTGAAATAAATTTTCTCAAACTAGAAGGTCTGAAATCGAAAAAGATATTTTGTTCCTAATAACAACAAGTAACATTCATTGACATCGAAAGTCGATTCACTGGGCCCTAGACAGACAGTGTTGAGGAGAAGAAATGCATGGACAGGACAGAGAATCGGTTGTTTGCGCCAGCAGCTGGTGATGATATTTTTAAACAGGCCTGTAAAGAAGGTGGGAATAAATGAAACTGAAGTAAGAATTAGACGAAAATTAAAGGTTTCAAGTAAAAGCACTAAAAGTGAAGACGAAACACAGACAGAATCGGACTCAAAGACCCATAAGACAGCGGAGAGGTTGAGTCTTAACTAGCCACAAAATACGGGGTTCAGGAATATCACGATGGTTAGCTCAAGGTTCCGTAGGGGGATCAACTCGTCCCCTCCACTGACCGCATATCCAGAGCGGCCTATTTCCCGTGACCACGTCTTACAGACGTCCATGGTTTGTGCGGTAACAACACCCTTAGTGCCATAAAAATAGTCATTTCTACCATGAGAATTGGTTATTTGAGCCATAAAAGTGGTCATTTGTACCATGAGAAATAGTCATTTATGTCACAGGAATGGTCAATTGTGCCACAGAAATGGTCGTTTGTATCATTATTACAGACAGGCACACAGACACATGAATTACGGCTTCTAGACCCTATCCTTTCAGTCTAGGGAACACCCACACCGAAAACCCTGTAGCACTAAAAAAATAGGCAAAACTATCATTACATATGAATAAGCCGATGGATTCTGAAGACGTTTAATAACTCAGTTCAGTAATTCAGAAAAATTGAATTTTTCGTGCCTGTGGTACCCCTGAGACATTCGAAAAATTATTTTTTTGTTTATTCTATCTTGATGATTCGTGTGTGGGTGGATGTAAGTGTTATCCGTCTCCTCCCGCATCCACACACTCACACCCATTGGTTGAATCGAAAGTTTATCGTAATTATCATAGGTGGTCTATCACCACAAAAAATTTCAGCCCGATCGGTTGAGAATTGCGGGACTTTTATGAGGGGTGGGGGCCTTAAAAAAATTGTGTAGAAAATGGAAAAGGACATCTTGGAAAATTAGCGACGCTCAAATACAATCCCAATTAGCATGCTTGAACCATGGCAAAACTATTGTTACAAAATATGTGTCCACGAGGCGTGCATAGAATTACACGAGGTTTCACCAAGGACCTCTAATGGGTGTGGGTGTGGGAGGAGACAGATAACGCTTACACCCATTCACACTCAACTATTAACATAATAGAATGCTCGATCTCTCATCACACGCGGTGTTGATGTAGGAAATAGTGCAATTCACTGACTACTGAAAGTACATATGAAGTATTAAAAACAGAAGTCAGCGATTGAAATCGATAAAAAATTACTTTATTGTGTTTTATTCATAATAATCACACAGCCAACATAAAATGATTCGATCAGAAATATCTTCATTACTCTGTCACTCATTGAAGATTATAGTATAAGAACATTGAAACAACAGGATAGCTAACAAAAAATATCAACTTTGGTCAATGGTAAACTTTTGTACTCGATGGTTTTCACTTTCACTAACGTAGAGATTACCTTCTCGATCAAATGACAAATTAGTAGGTCGAGTGAATTGATTCGGTTGTTTACCTTTGCCATTTCCACCGGCAATGATGTTTCCCTGTGTTTCTCCTCGACACCAACGCATTATCCGATGATTTCCAGCATCAACCACATACACATTATCTGATTGATCCACGATAATACCACAAGGATTTGATAATTGTGTGAGACTATTTCCTTCGCCTAGTCCCCCTGCCACAACGATGCCTTCTTTTGCACCTTTCTTCCATTTCATTATCCGATGGTTACATTCATCGGATACGTAAACCGTTTGATCTCGATCGACGAATATGTATCTTGGATAGTGTAGCTGATCCAATCGATTACCCCTCCCATTTCCACCGGCAACAATTTTGCCATCATTTTCCCCGATTCGATATCGTTTGACTTCATGTTTATCACTATCAACAAGATAGAGAAATCCATCATTATCGATAGTCAAGCCGTAGCATGCAATATTGGATATGATAACTTCTCCACTGGTACTACTTTGACGAGGCCATCGAACTACTCTTTTATTACCATAATCGCAAATAATAAGACTATCTGTTTCTTTATGAATAATCACATCTGTGGGCCAGTAAAACTGATTTGTACCTTGTCCATCTCCATTTCCACCAGCAACAATTTGACCGGTCATGGCATTACATTTCCATTCGACAATACGATGATTACCGCAATCGGCTATGTACACAGTTTGAGCATCATCTATACGAAAACCCCAGGGATTGCAGAGTTGATTGATATTAGCTCCAAAAGAATTTCCTCCAGCCACAACAACACCGTTTTGTTTCCATTTTGTATTTGCAAGCAGATGTATACTGTTTAGTGGTGGAACTAAAACAAAACACAAGTTGACTCATTCATTCTATGGGCGTTGTTTTAAGTTTGGGATTCGGAATAGACAAATTCTATTGTGAGAATAGAATTCCACAGAGGGTACATCGGTCTATTGACAAGACTTTACTTTACTAATATATCGTTTAAATAGAAGTTTTCTCTTTTATCACAAAAAATTTGCTTTTTAGGGAAGAACTTTTTTCTTTTTTAAAATTTACTCAGTTACGCCAAAAAGATTGTTTCTAGTGATATTTTATTCAATTTTCTGGATGATATATCAGAGAATTTCATGTTAATTCACTCACAGTTTTCTTGTTCTTCTCGAATGTAAATAAGTTGATTCCAATCAATTGTTTCACTATTAAAAATAACAGCGTTATTTGTATCATTTCGCAGGAATCTCTCGAGTTTCTGTTGAATTTCATTAATTTTCTGTTTTAGTAGATCAATATCCGTTTCAAGAAAATTTTCTTCTTCTCGACGATAACGAATTTCTTTTGTTATTGGCTCGAGTTCTTCTGCTATTGTTGTTCTTTGTCTATTGATGATTTCGATAAGCTGATGCTGAACTTGTTCTGCTGCTTTTTCTACTTTATTTATTGTTGTTCTTTTCCATTGTTCAATTTTATTAAAGAGATCCGATGACAAACTATTAGATTGTTCTAATTTTTGTATTCCATCAAGAATTTCATCGTGCGATCTTATTATTTCGTTATCGAATGTGATCGATAATTGTTGTTCATGTTCTTTGAAATGATTTGGACAAAAGTATTTTTGGCACCCAATACAAAAATTTTTTCTCAAATGTTTACACATTGAACATAAATTTGATTCGGTTACTGTCGACATTTCTCTTCGAAGGATATCTCGAATAATTTCGAATCTAAAATGAGATCAAATGCGTCTTTATTAAGAAATATTTCTATGATTCAAGATAAATGTTGCAGTATATAAGGTACGAATTTGCAATTGCAAAGTGCACGGGACGGTCTGCAAAAACGATTAGGTATTATGATACAGGGTTCACAAGAATTTTTTGTAGCTGGTACATTACTAACATCTGATTAGAATAGGCCAATTACTTATTGTAGCACCTAAACTATCAAATATATGATGATGATGAAGAAGAAATATATTCAAAAATCAATCATTTTTCGTATCGTTAGCAACAACGACTGTGTCAGACTAACAATTTTTATAAATTAAAATGAAATTTCGTTCGTTTGTCTCGAATTTGACTCAACATGTTTTGCAATGAAAGTATAAGAGTTAAATGCTGCTAATTAATTTTTCAATATCTCTAGAAAAATAAGGAGTGTAGAAAACTCCACTTTCTTAGAGTTCGCTGATTAGACATATTTTTATATCCATAATCAATCGACACTTGTTTGTTTTTAGTAGTAAACTTGATTAACGAAACGAGCAAAATCTTCGTTTATGGAACATTTTTGCGTTCATTTCTGCAGCTCTCTTGACATATGATAAGCAAATTTTAGAGTCATCGGCAACATTGTATCTTAGACGAAAATTATTCAAAATCATAAACAAAATAACCAGTACGCCAAAAGTTTTTTTCCAAACGTCTTCATTTACTTTAAAGAAAAAACATCTACTTGAAATCTTTGCTTTTAGATCAACATATTTGCCATATTAATTAAATTGTTCATTCCTAAAAGATCCGCGACTTAAATCAATTAAACCATTTCGAAACACAAATTTCTTACTCGTAGACCAATAGAATATTTGTTTAGTTGCTTCACACGAAAAAAATAGTCTCAGAAGTGACGAACTGTGCAAATAAACGACGGGAAAATGTCAAATAAAACTCGTGCGTTTTTCTTGTGAAAAACAGAAGAAACGAAAGAGAAAAAGAGAAAGTCTTGCTCGTCTCAAACATAAAAAATTTTAAAGCGCCCACCTCTTCGCAAGAGAACTTATTGACCATTAACACATTGAAATACTGTTTCGACGAACTTACATTTGATTTACTCTAAAACAATTCTAAAATGTACTTGATCACACGCATATATAAGTATATCACACTTAAAGCACAAGGAAGAGATCGGAAAAAAGATGAAAGCACGGCTAACAAATACAAATCATCGTATAAAAGTTTTCGAAAAATATCAGATTTGTTATATTTAATAGAACAATTCTAAAAGCAAGTCCAATAGAACCGAACAACGAAGTGAATTCACAATGATGAAAATAGAAGTCACAATGATCAGCTTCGATCGCGATGTAAAGTGCTTGGTAATTTTTGAATATAATCCATCAAGAGTGATCATGTCTAACTATCGATCTGATATAATTATACATATTAACCAAATACTATAGTTAAGAAAATAAATGTCGCATTGTGAAGAAGTCATCAGGTGAGTTCTACGACACTGGATTATATAGACCTAATCAAAGAGTATATATTACGATTATAGAATCATTTTGTTTCTTTATAAGCGAATTCATAATATATTTGTAGTTCTTCGTGTAAAACATAAGAATATCTAAATCACCACAAATATATCGCATTTGCTCTATTGGATATGTTTTTACATTAATTCTAAATTACAATTTGTAATTCTGCAAAAACATCTGTCGCGAATATTTGATTTGATTCTGAAAGCACCAACTCAATAAAAAGATATTTCTTTTCTTTTTGTGCTTTTTCTTCATTAGCGGAAAGAATAGAACAAAAATGTTGATGAAAAGCATAAGTCAATTCCTTTGAGCGAATTCGCATCCGGCAAAAAGAAAAAGCTGATTTCCTCGACGCCGATCAAGTGAGGTTTTTTTCTTGTCATTTGAATTAAGACTAAATCGATGCCAGATATTTTCTGATCGGAACATACAAGGCGAATTTTTTCACATTTATTTTGGCATGAAGAAAAAAAGGGAACGAGAGGAAATGGAAAAGAGTTTTGATTGAAATCTTTGCAATCATTCATTTATTTTCACCGTGAAAGAAACACAAAAAGAACATTTAGTAGCATGTCATTCGAAACCATTGACAAACTCAATCGTGATTTTGAGCATAATTTTAATAATGGTCAAATAAGTGAAGCTGTTGGTAGCTATGCTGATGATGCTCGACTATTTGCTCCGGACAATCAAGTTTATCAAGGTGCAGATCAAATTAAAAAATATTATTCGGAAACGAGAAAAGTCGGAAATACACACGTTGATTTACAAACTAAACAAGTTATTCAGTGTGATTCAAACTATCTTATTGAAATAAGGTTTTTCTTTAAATCATCTTTCGAAATGTTTTCTTTTGATTATCTTGATTCTAGTTCTTACAAAGTAAATGCCGAGGCAGGAAATTATGTTGTCATCTGGAGAAAAGATGGTCAAGCTTGGAAAAAAATCATCGACATATTCAATTGAATCATACATTAACTTTTAGCTTCATTTATCATTTCATTAGATATTCAATAGATTCTCCTAATAAACTTTTATCGATTAGATTAGTTCAAAACAAAATCTGCTTAAAATTTTTCTATAAACACAGCATCTATGGCAGCGCAAAAAATCGCCCTTAGAACATTTTAAACTCATTTTAACAAAATAAATTATCATACAACATATTCTCTTTTGTTCATAGAATTTTTTTTACCGGATTGAAATTTGTTTCAAAATCAAAACAATATGAAAATAAATTATTTAAATCTAACTAATTGAAACTCTTATGCGTTGCCAATGTATAAAACAGAGCTTGAATATTACAATCCGAATGATAAATAATCATCATTTACAAATTATTGTTTTGCTAGAATTATTTGCCGGTGCATCAATAACCTCACGCTTAGATACTACAAGCCAAATACTTTTGCACAGGGACACGGTGATCCTTGCACTAAAAATGTAACATGATCTTCGATAAGCAAGACAGAATTTTTCTAGTCTAATATGGTCTTGTTGGTTATATATATATACACAGAGAGAGAAAACATCGTGTTCCAATGACTGCCAGATACAACAATAGAGCTTTCAAAGCTTGGTTATCATTTACCACAAATAGAAATCCACAGACACATCTATACATCATATCCACACTTGTGGTGAATAAAACAAATATGACCCATTCTGGTGACCAAATAGGGATTTTTCAATTTAGGGATTTGTTTTTATATACTATATGCTGTTCAAGTCACAACTGAACAGGGTCCCTGTTAGGGGTTCACCAGTACCAGTATACTGGGTACTGGTAATACTGGTGACCAAAATCGACTCTCTGAGTTTCTTATAAGCGAAATTACTTTTCGAAATGATTCTAATAGATATCGAATATGTATGATTCTGGTTCCTAGAATCACCTTTCGAAATGTGATTCTATTTATCAGAAACTCTTAGAGCTGATTGTGGTTACCAGAATCATACATTTTCAATATTCATTAGAATCATTTCGAAACGTAATTCTTCTTATCAGAAACTCGGAGAGATGCTTCTGATCACCAGTGTTACAAGTACCCAGTATACTGGTACTGATGAGCCCCTAACTGGGACCTTGTTCGGTTGTGACTTGAACAAGATACTGTATAAAAAAAATCCTTAAGTTGAAAAATCCCTATTTGGTCACCAGAATGGGTCATATTTGTTTTATTCACCACAGGTGTGGATATGATGTATAGATGTGTCTGTGGATTTCTATTTGTGGTAAATGATAGTCATTCCAACAGTTTCGGTATTAGAGAAATCTAGTTAAAATACTCGTAGTCACTGAAAGGCTGACGTGCTGTTAGAAGAAGCGTACACTATGTCTAAATAAGGATGCGTTTGTAAACGTGTTGAAATTATCAGACAACAGACCAATGATTCATTGGGAACCGCACTACTCGTCTTGTACAGCTCAAACTGAGGAGACTTCGTCAGGATCTTGTTAATACTGAAAGATTTTCTTGATTGATGATATGTCACAGGTTATGTCATGTTCATGGAGGACGATAATCAGAACAAATTTGTCGGAATTGCATTTTAGCTTTCATCCAAGCGTACATTCTTTTTGTTTGCTTACTTAGAGAAATATATACTACAACACCTTTGTTTATCATATGATTCCTGAGTATATCGCGAAACGAGAGTCATTGATCAATACGTACTGAATTGTAGGTGTTTTCTGTTTTTTTTGTTTTGCATGAGTTTAGGAAAGCGAATTAACAAGACTTTTCGTTCAAGACATTTCATAAACTATTGAAGATTTGATCGACAAACAATCTTTCTTTACAAGAAAAAAATCAAACATATCCTCTTAGATCAGTATTTTTTCTCTAAGTAACACTAATTTCGGTATAAGTTTTTTTCGTTCACTTCATCCGATAATTATCATAAGTATCATACTGAAAATGTAAGAAAAATCGCTTGTTCTTCATTTACTCCAACATCAATTGTAAACGAACGGTCCTGTAAGTACCTAAAATTCCATACTGACTCAACTGATAGTAGAACAATGCATAAAGGCTCCTTTCAATTAATCGGACAATCATTTTCTTTACTTATTTTCAGTTTGTCCATAAATTACTATGATAATTCCTGATGTTAATCATATTACTAATAGTACTATAACTCTGTTCGCAACAAATGGATGAAAATTAATGTCGAACGTAATTGAAATTCTAAGACACTCACGTACACATGTATTTATTATACAAGTTGAAAAAATTTGTATAAGCGTTAGCAGTTAGCAAAAAACATGGAGCACAAAGCGATTGAAACAATGAGCATAAAAATTTAACATTGCAGTTTTTGTTGTTCTGCATCATATACCATCAAACAAGCATAAGACCACAAAGCACTTAAGAAATCCTGAATACCGAAAATTAGGAACGGAACTTCGATGGAACTAGAATATAAAACTGTTAATAAAAAGTAATTATCAATTGAAATATTTTTTACTAGAAATAAACCATTGCACTTATAATTGGCAGAATAAACAAACGTCCAATTATACTAGCTCTAACATATAGGAGAGAAAAAAAATGTATTTCTAATTGTTTGATGATTCGATACTACCTAAAATAACCAATTAAGGTAAAATATCCAGCAACACAGTAGTAGTAACCAATCACAACTATCGCTAAACCTGCAACTCGAGCAAATTGTTCGGCTTGTTTTGTTTCTAGTGCTGATAGAAGTAACAATTTCGCTGTTGAATATGGAAATATTAGGAATGCTAAACCTTCGAAAACAAGTAGTATACCAACGAGTATAAAGCTATTTTTTAAATGTTGTTCAGCACACGTCATTTTAACCTCTGAAGTAAAAACAATATTATACAGTTTTTATTAAAGTAATACAATCATTTTTCGAAAACAGATATGCACCGATTTTCGATCAGATACATATGATTAGTTTTCACTGTCCCTCTCTATGAAAGCAATAGTAAAAATATGTTCATCGAATCTATCCGAGATGAAAATAAAATCGAGTGCTATTTCATAATCAAACGATATTTAACAACTCACGATAGTTTTTAGTCATACGAAAATCGACCATCGTATGGATAAATGCTAATTTTGATCTTTTATTTTGTACTAAGCTGAAAGAAAAAAATTATCTCGCTTCACATATCAAGACGCATCCACTGTGCATGTTGTCGTAAAGCTATCTACAAAAAATTATTTTTCTGTTCTTCACGTGTTAAGATGGCCTTGTTACTCCTTCCCACGTTTTTACTTTTCTTTTGCCATCTCAAATAAGCAAAAGATACCCAAGAATGCAACTTAAAATACAAGGTAATTTTTGTTGTTTTCATAATATTTCTTTGCTTTCGTATTTTCCATTTTCGATAATATATATTCACTTGTCAAAATATAATTATTGATTTAGGTTTGCATGATATGAAAATGTTACAATGCGACATTTGAACGTACAGATTTTAAATAGTTTCAAAGACTATTTGAATAGTCGAGATCGATTTCAGGTTGTGACGATAGCTAGAAAAGAATTGCTGCATAATAGCTCATTTCTATCGTGAAAAAAAGCACAAAGATTCTCTTATGATATTTCAAATCATTTATTTTAAACGCGTGTATCGAAAAAAATATGTATGCGTTCAAGGTTCTGCCAAGCGTGATTCACGAGTAACCCATCGTCGATGAGGGTAATCATGTTTATACGCTGTTGGAATCCATACTGGCCGTTGTTCGGGTATATAACGATGTTGAAGTCGGTGAAGATCAAGCTGCCGAGATAAATATTCAGATAATTTGTCTTGTTGTTTTACTTTTTTCACTATTCGTTTATGTGGACGTGGAGATGGTGGCGGATAAGCCTGATCAATAACATAATCATCACAAAGCGAACAATAATGAACCGGTGATGGTGAACGTGAATAAGTTACTATTCGTTCTCGACTAGGAACGCGCGGATAACAGATTGAACAAGTTCCGTCGCACTCAATTACTTGTGTTGTCGGTGCACATAATCGACAAGTTTCATCACAATGGATTGTTCGCGTAATTGATGAAGTCGAAGAACAAATTGGACAAGTTTCTTTTTCTAAACGTAAATTACTCAACTCTCCACGTAAGTCGGCGAGTTCTCTTTTAACTTCGGACAGATCATTTGCTGCTCGATTAATTGTAGTTGAATACACTGGTACATAGGTTACGGGCAAACTTGCATAGCTTTGAGTTACTGGTACATAATACATCTTTATATTTTCTTTTTTGAATGACGACGCGATGAAGGCGACAAGAAGAAGAAAAAGCGACTTGTTTCTAACGACAAAAGACTTTAGCAACTTCTTTTTTTTCTTTTTTTCCTGCTCTGACAAACAGAACAACAATAACACTATTTACCTTAACCACGGCTTCTATTCTCACTCTACGTAGAGATGTCAAATATTGCTTCAAAATTCACTTTTTCTTATTCTTGAAATCATATTTTTTCATTTGAAACAAGAAGAAAACATTATATATTCGTTTATTTTTGTTCGCATAATTTTAAAGATATTTATTCATGAGTTTCAAGCAAAAATATAACGATAAATCCATTTTAAATAAGTTGTCATTATCGATTCGATGTTTTTTCAATATACTCATGACAACGATGAACTGGTGCAAGTGACCACAAACATTGTAATCGAAATATTTCGTATTCAAATAATAATTCATATCGCCGTGTCGCATTACGTACACGTGCAATAGTTGATAAATTTGCTATTTCACCAACAGCTAGAGCTATATAATAAGAAAACCAAAGATTATTATACTTCAAATCTGTTTATCCACCATTTACCGATGCGAAAATGATTGACGAGAATCGTCATTGTAACACCACAGCAAAGAAAAAAATCCTCGTAGCCTACATCTAATATCATAAAAACTAAAAATACAATAATTAATATTATGCGATAGAAGAAATTTCGATAAATCACAAACTTGATCGAAACCAAGCAAAAGTAATAGTAGAAAAAACAGATTGATTTTGTAAAAGCATGTAAAATACAGCTGAATGTGAACAAATTAATACTGCTAATACTGGAAGAAACCATAAGAATTTAAGCATAATCACTTCAAGCAGAACAACATTAGCTCCAAATATAGGAACAAAACGAAGATAAGATAGCACTGTTGTCCAAGCAAGAACTACTGCAAATGCATCTACTTGCCATTGATTGTCGTCATATAAACAAATAACGCTTAGGATAATTGCTACAATTTCCAAATAAATGCGACATACGATAGATAATTCATAGATTTTATATTGATCAGCTAACTTTGATAGACAAAAAATCTGAAAATTGTACTATGTTAGAACAATCACGAAACAACGTATTTCAATTGTTCTAATGCGGTCAAGAGTCGGAAAACTTCGAATTTTTTCCTTTGAAAACTATAGACGTGAATTTCTTTATGTTAATACTAACCAATGAAATTCCATTGGAATAATCTCCATCTGGAAACGATGTGTTGGCTAACTTATAGAAATTTTCTAACGGTCGATTTCTTAACATTGTAACAGTAAATAAAATTAGATATAGAAAGTACGTAATAAAAAATGTTGAGTTTCTTCACTACTTTATAAATCAACTTGTTTAGCATTTTTACAAATAACTGAGAGTACACTATTATGTACTAATGCGTGATGACTTGCTGTATAAGCAATTAATGATCGATGATAATTATCAGAATAAAATTCAATTTTTCCGTAACGACAAAACATTGGACAAAAACAATTATTTAGTGACTTGTTTAGTATCATCTGAGAAGACCTACTACGTTGCCACTGTTGGATATGACAATGATCTTCAAGAAGTTCTAAATCATAAATTATTTTATGGTAAGCATCATGTTTATCACCAATGTGTGTTATAAAAATGTCAAGTACTCGATACGCTAAATCAGGCATAAATTTTACCAATTTTCTAAGTGGTGTGTCAACATTCTGATAATGAATATCAAGTAATTGAGCATTACGTAAAAGACTTTTAAATAGAGAAATATTATTAATATTTAAAAGATATTCAACAAACGATCGATTTCGTGATATTGTCGCTGTTTCAAGACAATTATGACCAAAACCATTGATTGCTGTTAAAGCATCATAAGAATGGATTTGACAATTTCTAACATGTCTTAAAAACATATCAAGTATACAAATGGATGCATCAACACCATCATGACATTTAATACAAGCACATCCGGCAACACAATGTAATGGTGTTGATTCTTGATCATCTCGAACGTATATGTTAATATTTAATAAAAACAAATCTTCTACGATATTACTATGACCATGAATAGCAGCTAAATGTAATGAAGTTCGAAAATTAGCATCGGTATGTTCTAATAAATAATTCATACCACATGTATTAATATGTTTAAGAAAGAGATTCATAATATGGCGATGCCCATGAAGAATAGCTCTATGAAATGGCGATTGACCATTTCTATTTTAATATCCAATTATAAATACACGAGATTTACTTAACATTGAAAGTGTATATGAAGGAATAAATTGAATATCTGCAGTATATTTTGCATCTATGGATCGAGCTAATTCCCCGTCGATTCTATCGAGATAAATACGAGGTTGTTGAATATCATCGAACTTATCAGCAAATACAAGTAATAATCGGCATAGAGAATATAATTCTCATCGTACACCAACGTGAAGTGGTGTTTCATCGTTATGATCCAATGAAAATATCATTGGCTCAATGATTTGTATAAATAAAAACGGATTTGATTCTATACACAACATTAGTATTTCGAGCTATTTAATTTGTTTAGAAAGAACGCAAATCTGTAATAAAGATCGTCCGTATCGATCTATGAATATATCGTTAATAAATTTATCAGGAGAATTATTTGTGATGATAAGTTTTAGAATAATATTAAGCATGCGTTCAAAATATTTTAATTGGTCAGCATAAGCAGCTGAAAGAATTGGCGTAAAACCGTTTTGTTTTTCTCTTAAAAATATTATATTTGCTTCAATCTTATTGTCAGAATATTGCCGATGAAGTAGATGCAGTACAACGATAGGGCAACCTAATTTACAGGCATTATGAAGTGGAGTCTCTCCAGCAGTTTCATCAATAACAAGCCAAATAGGATAAGAATCTATGACACGAAAATCTTCATCTGAAATTGCCTGATAGATTTGATCGAAAATTATTTTATCTTTTTCGTTCCATTGAAAATCATCGTATGGTATATGTTGAAAGAGTTCTTCAAGTATTTTTTGATTATTATAAATTCTTGCAAGTGAAAAAGCATCATATCCATCTGTTGTTTTTGCATTAATATCATCTATTTTTGAATTCATTGGTAATGATGTTTTATTTGATATACTGTCTCTAATTGATTTTAATTTATTTGATTGAAATTTATAAGAATCAGCTTTTAACAGTAAATATCGAACAATATCATTTGTTCTGTTAAAACTACATGCATAATGTAATGGTGTTGCTTGACGAAGATCTTTTATCTAAAATAACTATGTATTGTTAAGCAAACTATTACTATACTTGAGAAAGAAGAAATATTTATTGTTATCGATGCTCCATAGTTAAGTAATATGTTCACATTAGTCATACGATTAGACATGACAGCATGATGCAATGAAGTTGGACCTTGATTATTTCGCTTATCAATATTATCTATGAGTTTTTGTTTATCATTCGTTTTTGATAATAAATAGATTAATAATGATTGCTGTTCGTTTTCTGAATTTATTACTTATAGTCACACGATGTGTATCTTCATCGATTGCCTTAGATCGAGCTGCTACATGTACCCAGAACAATCATTCCGACCGCCGGAACGGTCACCTTAACCGGCCTGAAACGACTATAAAATGGTATAATAAGGCGTTAATTTTCACCTTATTTCGCCGTAATCAGTCAGCTCGGAAAACGGCTCTGCTTTTCAACGTTTTATACCGTTTTTACGTACCGTTTTCTTCGACCTGGGTAGCAGTTCCCTTATTCACAAGCAACGTGTTTGAAAACTCTCGTCAGCCTGAGCACAAAGCTATTGCAGACGTGGGGATGGGAGATTAAGTATCACCTAGCTACTTAAATTTGTGATTCAGAGATTTTGCGGGGGCAGCCTCAAAATTCAGCGGAGAGCGCATTCCGTCCCGTTCGTTGGCTCCGTCCCAAGGAACGCTATTCCATGCGTGCTTCACCCATGGATCCTGCCATGATTTTTGCCATCGGCATGGCCATTTGTACTACAAAAATGGTCATTTGTGCCAATGTTACCGACAGACAAGCACAGGTGGATTACGGTTTGAGATCCTATCCTTTCAGTCAAGGGAATCTTATTGTATTTTATTGTGTAAATTTTAATGCTGCCAAAGTTTTTCCATTTCTATTTGCATCCTCCATAGATGGAGATCGATGAAATATTATTTTTACGATATAAAATCAGCATTTATCTGCTTTCAATACTCCTAGATTATTTAATCAATAGCAATCATCATTGTGTTAATCTAATAAATAATGATTTCATGATACACAAGAAGTATGAAATTAAATTAAAAAAAAGTTCATATCTATTATATCTGTCTAAGGTAGCTGTCAAAACAGAAACAGATTTTCCCACTAGCTTGATCCGTGAATAAATTGCTCTAGCGATGGCTAATGTTAAAATTTCAAAATGATCATTAAAATTTTTCATCTCTTGAGGGCATAGATTTTTAAGGAATGAATATCTTCTCTAGGTTTTGGTCTCGCTCGCAGTCACTTGCAGCCGAATAGTGAGAAATCAAAAGAGTTAAAATATTTGAATATGTTTTATTGTAAGTCAATCAGGTTAGTATATTAATTGAAGGAGCAAACGAATAATCTTCGAAATTAAAAAGAAAATGTTAGTTATATGAAACGTTCACGTATTAATAAATGATTCAACTCATCACATGAACATTGATTTGTCGATTCTTTGATGTATGTGATAGAGTTTTTGATTTTTGATGTTGAAGCGAAGGCACTATTGTTGTGTAATTTGTATGTTCTCCCGCGTTCTCAGGAAATACTGCAGTTCCATGATTTTTTCTTGGTTGTCTATTGGTTGATAAACTTCTTACTCTGGTCACAGTAATATATTTTGTTCTTGATGCATGTGGTTCCACGATCTCTTGACTGTTATTGTTGTGATTTATCGAAATGCTGCGTCTTCGTTTACTAGTACTAGGTGTTCTTTTTTGTTTTAAATCACTTTTGCTGACTCTAGTGATTTTATTTCCACTCATTTGCATGGCATTTAAAGAGTCATCATGATGTACTGACACATTTACACGTTGCATCTTTATATCAGCGCTTGAACTATTCAATGTCATCAGATGATTAATTATTTGTTTTCTTTGATTAGCAGCAAATTCCGGGCTCTCACTAGCGGCTGATATTTTGTTACGAGGAATTTTCTTCGAACCATACTGTGGAGGAACTGGTACACTCGATTGAGAACTTTCTGGCGCAAATGATTGACTCAAATTATGACGTTCGTTATTTCCAGCCGTTGTAAACGATTTTTCATCAATTGACATCCATAACAAGGACTTTAATGACGAAGATTTCAAAGAAGACATTCGATCCTGTTTATTGGCCATTTTGTGAAATCCATGATTGTTAACCCACCTTTTCAATGGAAAATTTCGACTAAAAAATGATTCTGGTAATTTTGAATACTTATTTTGTGCTTCAGTTTCTTCGAGTGTTTTTTTTCGACGCGGCTGTCCTCTAGAATTCCTGTAAACGAAAAACCAGACATAGCATCAGTTTTTTCCTTCAACTCGATATTCTAGTTGATACATTGTTGTATCGAAAAAGACGAAGAATTCAATACCTGCAAAAGTAATACAACCAACAAAAACAACAGCATAATGCTAGCAATAGTCCTAACAGTGATAAACCGACCACTAGTGGAATATTAATGCTACTAGTAGCTTTATTTGTTGACGCTGTTGTATTGGCTGGAGTAGCAGCAATTCTGTAAATCAAAAACGACTCGTCGTAGATCAGCTTCTAAGATACAATCAAAACTTACGTTGTTGCAGGACAATTTGGAGTTGACGCCGTTACTGTAAATATTGCACAGTATTGTGTTGATCGTACTATCAAACTAATATATACGAAAAGAAAAAGGGAATGTCAACATCAATTTAAAGCAAACTAATCATGTCATACCTGTTGTAAGCATACACACATAGTTCTTGTGTTCCTATTTGACTTGTCTGTGGTGCCCAAGATAATGTTACATATGCCAATGAACTATTTGTTGTCGAATTTTTCACGCTACTAGCCGTCATACCTGTAATTGTTTGCGATTGAATAACGTCAGTAATTGTGGCACTCGAATTGCATAGATTCATTATATACAATGTGAAATTCGTTGGCACATTGGTTTGTACTTCCAAACAATCTGTCAGAGGAATCATGACAGGCGCTATTGAACATACTGGTGTTGGTTGAACATAAATCAGAAACTGAACGGCAACAGAACTCATTGGTGAGTTACTTGTTGTATTTATAAAGTCTTCTACCTGAATAAAAAATATTTTGTTAGCAAAAAATTCTTGTATTCGTAGTAACAAATACTTGTATAGCAACAGAATACCAGGCACCTGGTACTAGACTCATAAATGAAAGAGTACAGTTTGATAGTGTTGTACTATTTGGTAAAGCACCTGGATAACATATACTACTACATTCGTTGATTATTCCATTGACAGCCCATCGGCAACGTACATCATCACCGACATTGCCGTCGGATACAGGTATATTAATGAGACTTGTAGTGTTGACAATCACATATTGAGGCGAAAGAACATTGGCTACTGGTGGTGTATTAACTATACCATCACTTCTTAGCCGAAGATCAATCAGAGTTGCAATAGACCAATCAGGGCTGCTTGTGGTATTATATAAGCTTCTCCAAGCGCTACCTTGATATGCTATGTAAAAATACGCTCCAATATTGAGTGTAATATTGACGGTTCGTTCACTTGTCATCATCCCTAGCGTGGAACTCGCAGAAATACAATCCGTCAAAATGTCAATAGGCGCACTTGAGTAACCACCATCAGTTGAACAATTAGCGATACATGTCAGATTCGTGTCATCTTTACCACTCGAGACCGGAACATTTGTTGTACAAGTCATAAGAGGGTAACTCCATGAGTAGGTTTGTGTGATAGAAATGGCAACCGGAGATGAATTAGAATTACTATTAATAGGTGCCCATGTAATAGTACCGCCGTTGAAATGAGCTGCATCAACAAAAACCGAAGAAAAGGACAGAAACAAAAGCCAAATAACCATTGATCTTCTTTTTCCGTTACTTTCAAGAAGATTAAATCTGAAGAATATCATAAATTGTTTGAAATTACTCAGAAACTTCATCATTTGCCGTGCAAATGTAGAGGTGAAAATATCTACTTGAAGATCCAGGCGCACGTAATGACAAATTAACTTTAAATGTAAAGATGAACTCGAGTATAATGGCACTGTTCCAATCTGAGTTATATTCTCTTATATGTTAATCAAAAGGAGACATACTTACCCTCCAGCCACGGCTGTGAAATGAATCTTCGAACAGAGCTTTTTATACGTGTATGGAAATAAAATCGCGGCGAAATAGAAGAAATTTTAATTAATCTCCCTCTTTTTATTTACAAAGACAGTGTTAAAAGAAATACAATAACGAAAGAAAAAAAAGCAACTTGCTGATAATCAGACTTGCAGTCAGAATGCACGCATTCAGTAAAATAAAATCAACAGAAGTCGCCGTGTTGTTTTAAAACAGAAGCCTTTTTGTTTTTACCTAGATCAATCTCTGAAATTTCATTGTTCTTTTACCCTGCTAAAAAAAAGCAGAGAAACAGAGCAATGGACAAGTGGAAAAAGTACAAAATAGTATCAAACAAATTAGAGAAATACTTTAGTATAAAGTAACTAATTTAATATGAGCGTGAGTTAATTATGAAATTATTTAATATACTACATGTTATTTTCTAATTGTACGAGTTGACCAAAAGATCTTTGTAATATTTAATGTCTCATGATTTGCAACAACGTATCCGCGATCTCGGAAAGACGTAGAAAGTGAATAACGCAAAAGATGTCCGATTTAATAAGGCTTCGTTTTCAAGAAGGTGTGAATTGAATTACTTTCATCTATTGGTGTTATGGCGATTGCAATTGATAAAAAAGATAACATAGGAGTGCTATTATATGTAAAGCAAATAAAACAAATTAACTGAAAACAAAGTATACAACTCACGCGAATAAGATGTTTTTCACAGTGTTGTTTCAAATTCTAATGTAATAATGAGAAAAAAAATGACTTCTTGATTCTTAAAGTTGCTGATGTCAAATGTATTCATGAAAATCATTCCGACAAACGGATACAACAGCATTATACTGCTGCATTCGATGAAATTCATTTACATTGGTATACCATTATCTGGTTTCATCTAAATCCTGGCAACGAACAAGCCAAGGAGATCTGAGCTAGTGTAAACAGTGTGGTCTTGAATGCATTATAATGTACGGGGAGAGATACGGTATATCGTACTTGAGTTTTTGATATAGGTGTTTAACAAATACTTGGAAATTTTTCAAAAAATAGCTGAATTCATATTGACTTATTTTGAAGTACTTCTAAAATATAATTTCGATGAACGACTACAGATCGTTTTGTTTTCTTTTATTGATAATATAACATAATCAACTGAACTCATATGAGAGAAAAATGATTAACAAAGATTATAGTGTAACAATACAATATTTCAATATTCTTTTTCAAAAATGGATAAAAACAAAGTACAAACGATCATGCGCTAGTTGAAGTAAGTTAAAATAGGCAAGAGAAAATCATCACTACGATCGTATGATGTTTTCGACTTTGATTATACCGTGCAAACGTGGAATAGATCCATTCCAGTTAAGCATTGAAAAGTCTTGATAATGTGGTTGCGATTTTCAGTAGGCTTGTGCTAGGACCCAGTTCCAAATCCAACTGGGTACGAAAATGCTCATCATGAGGGACTCCAGCTCGTATTTGTATTCTACCAACAAATCAATGCACATTCATCCCCACTCTTTGATTCCATTAATTTATAACAATTTCAGTAGCAACCAACATTGTAGGCCTGGCGATTCTTTGAGTATTTTTCGTACACTTTTTTGAAATAGTTTTTAGTACAAATTGAACAATTCTAGTTGGATTTTTCTTTTAAATGATAATTAATACAACCAATATATAAAGCTTCGAACAATCACCTAAAATTCGATTGGATTTTTAATGAAATCAATATATATTCTGAAGAATATGAAGCTATTCCTGAGTTAGACTTCAAACAGAGAGAGAATATTTTTTCATTGTTGTTTAACACTGGTTCATCTGAAAATGTGTGATTCTTTTCTTTGCCATCGTGTTATATCACATTTAATATGTAAAGTTTACATTGTAAACTTTATTCAAATGGGTGTATTGCGTATACATTTTTTAGCGAAATGTTTCTGTCCATTTACGGTATTCCCACATAGAAAACAGTATTGTTTCATGCATGCACTGCATATCATCCAATTATCATGTGTCACCTTCACATTAACGTTTTTACACGATTTTGTAGGACACACTTTCACTCGGTTGAGTATAATCGAGCCGATCGCCGATTGATTATCAATTGAAATGTTCAAATCTTCATCAGTTATTTGTTGGTTATTGTTGCCAGTTTGATCAGAAGGTATTTGTAGGTTTTCGACTGAAAGAAGAAAACAACCGTCGTGAATGTGTAAAAATATAAATATAAATATCTTTGTCAAGCTACTATCAAACTGGCAGATTGAACGTTCCGTAGACGTTCATCTAAAATAGCGTGTGCATAATTGAAGCTTTAATCTATTAGATCAACAAAAGAAATTTATGTTCTATCCTGATGTCTCTTGAAGAAACAGTTGTGAGAGCGAAGGATCGACTCGAAGTCAAGGTTTCTCTTCTTCCAAAGTTGCACGCAAGATGTTTCTAAGTGGCATTTCACTGCAATTCGAAACTGTCTATTGCAAATAATATACTTTTTGTACCAACCTAATGATGCTGCTTTGTTAAATTCTTCTTTAAGTGATTCAATTTCCATATGACCTTCATTTTCTAAATATGGCGCAATAATTGATGCAGTTGGTTCTTGTGTGAGTTGCCATGTGAAATCATTGTTGCATCGTGTACAATGCATATGTGAACAGCCACCATTTTTTTCAATCGGTACATGACAATGAGAACAATATTGAATACCTTGCAAATTGATTCGTTCGGCAGTTAATATTTCTCGTAATAGAGAATCTTGCTCAGATAATTTAATAACTATTTGACAATATCTTTGTTTAGCAATCTGCTGCTGTTTCAAAGATTCTTTCGGTGTTTGTGTTTTGTTGATCTGTGCTAATGCAGCGTCTCTTTCTTCTTTAAGTCGTTGACGTTCTTTTTCGCGCTGTAATTTCATTTGTTCAATCAAATAATCTTTAGAACACATTGTCTGAGAATGGAAAATTTCTTTACATTTTTTACAAAATGTATAACGACATAGACCACATACAGCTAAATTATCACTATCAGGACCACTAACGACAGGAGATTGACATCTGAATAAAAATGTTCTTCAATGTTGCTAGTTTCAATTTCTCGGTATTTATGGCGTTTATTTTATATCGTACAGCGTGCATCCTTACAACAATATGAGGCAACGATTGATGACTGTCTAGTCGATGTTAGAAGGAGTTATACATGTTTCATGTGATATAATTATTCTTCCTTTTTACCTTTCGATGTTTGAATCTTTTATTCAGAAAAACAAGAATGGTATGTTTAATCGCGTTTCGGTAGCTCAATGGTAAGAGCACTGGTCCGGTTAACCAGATGTTGTGTCTTGGGTTCGATTTCAGAACGAAGCATAGGATTTTGTTTTTTCTGAATGAAAAATTCAAACATCGAAAGATAAAAAGGAAGAATAATTATATCATATGAAACATGATGACTGTCTAGTTAATTTTTTCCAGCGATTCACACTTTAGTGATTTTTATATCTATTGGCAAGTCAAAATAGTACTGTTTATTTACCTACCATTGTCTGGTGTCGCCTTATAGTTGTATCCATTTTTCCGCACGATGTATAAAAGAATTAAATTCGAAACTAGAAAGCTCTTGTTTTTAGTCAAAAACTTGAATATGAAGTTTAAATTCTGATAAGACTATCGAAACTCAATCAGAATCGTCAATTTCGTTCTCATAAATCTGTAGAAACGTGCAAATTTCTTTTAATATCTAACTCACTCGAGGCATATGTGTTCATACGGTCCAAGTGTGCACTCTTACAAAATTCATTCTACACTCTACCTTCTGTTCAGCAGGAGTAGCTCAGACAAAACACGTAGTATTCATTGCATGAAAGTTCAACCGTAATGAGATATATATGGCAGTGTGAAGATTTAATCCAGAAATTCTCAGATATTTCATCCGGTAAAACCTATTTCACACGGGAAGATGTTAGTAAGGTCAAAGTTAGGAATACTTAAAAGTATGTCACTGCTTTAATAAAAAAAAACTCTTTCGATCTGGAATATTCTCTCGCGTTTCATACAAACATTTGAGTTGGAACTTATTCCATTCATCGCAACAATAAGCAAACTGATTCCTTGTCAAAATTTTAGCAAGAAAAATGTTTCTATTCGAAAATCAAAATAAATGATCAGCTTTGTTTTCTTACCTTGGACACCAAACAATATCCTCCATTGATTCAAGTCCATGTTGTAATGTTAGCCGTTCATATCTTTCATATAATTCATCATTTTGAATAGCTTGTTTTACTTCTGTTGGCAATAAAGCTTGACGGCATTGGTTTTCTGGGCAATGAAGATTTTCTCCAAATTTTCCATTTTCGAATGTTATTCGAATATAATTATTCAAACAAGAACGACAATAAAAATGTCCACAACGATGAAGACGAATACAATCTATACCTGGAATAATGTCTGTACAAATAGAACATGTTTGAAGTTGATTTCGAAATAAATCATCTTCACGCCGTTGATTATACTCAATTAAATTCTGAAAAATCTTTTCAGCATTTTCAACGATATATCCATTTAATGCTCTGGGATCATTTTCTTGTTCTATAAAATCAGTACCAATAATAAAGTCGTTCGTGATTTCTTGTTTTATTAATACAATCCAATCATAAACACAAACTTCACCTGGGATAAATGAAAATTCATCAATTTTTTGACAAAGTTTTATTAAGTCAATTTTTGAGAAATAAAAACATGAAAGAATAAACGATGGTGGTTCATCACTTGGATATTCATCATGATAGTTAATTATAAGAGATAATGGTGGTAAATATTGAATCAACGATATTTTATCATTGAACCGAATTGTAAATGTTGTAGGCAAATCAAATTCGATTAATATTTCATATTGATGTTCATTGAATAAATGAAATTTGTGATCAAAAATTGATTCTAATGCTAATATTTCTTCAGCTTGTTCTTCACTGTTTGCCATGCTTATTCATAAAAAAAACTATTCAAAATCGTAAGAAAATATGTGAGATGATTTCGTCACAACGCAGAATGTTTAAAGTTATTGTGAAATTACTAGATGAAATAACTACAGAGTGTGAGTCATTATGCCAATAGAATACGACAAACACGATGATAAATATGCCAACGAGAAATACAATACAATCAGATAAAATAAAATAGTTGTTCACACATCGAGAGAAGTACATATAACTCGAGGGGGGAAAGCTGATTGCAATCAAAGCAGTCTTTACCAATGATTGACAGTCTTTGACAATCAATAGCAAATATTAGTAATGATTTAGAATTAGGGCTGCCAATTTACAGTTTATTTAATTAAAATTAAAATTCGTGAAAAGTTAATTTAATTTTAAATTTTCAGAATTAAAATTTAATTTTTGAAAATTTATTTCTCGATTTAATAAATTTTTTTAAATTTAAATGGGACACCCCTACTCTTTATACGAACACACACGTGATATCATCTATCGTGATTTACTTTTTATTAACTGCTATTGATCTAATTCTCAAGACACATCCTTCTTAGTTATTGTAGAAGAATTGTCTTTTTCTCTTGATGAGAGTGGATGATGTTCGACTGGTCATTCGTCAAGAACATGACTTAACAGCAACATTTGTAAGCGGATAATCGTTTACAACAAAACAGCCATACCAGTATCATATTACTACACCGCAATATTAAAGTCATATTGAATCCCGACAAGATGCTCTTCGGACATTTGCTACCCCGGGCACTTGCTCCCTCCTTGTGTTTAACAAAAATGTTAATCAGCACGAGAGTAAGATATAAATCTATTTATTTGAGGGTATGGCTGTATCGGTGTGAGTGTGTCAGTGCAAGTATAGGCAAATAGTTATCCTCTTTACTCACCCACACACACACACACACACACACATTTTTGTATGAGTCATACACTGTTGTGGAATCACTGTTCCGGGAGCCAATGTTGTTGAGGAACAAGTGCCCTGGGAGCAAGTGTCTCTGGGGAGCATCTATCTGGGGCGCGGATGGAACTTGGGCAACTAGAATTTCGACAAGTGTCCAATTGCACCGGAAATTTGACAAAATACATCAAAGTTGGAATTAATATGTTTGGTTGAAATAGACATTTCCTCATTTATCAGTGAATAGGAAGCTAAGAAATACGATGTAATTATACAAAGTTTCACATGGAAAACTTTTTCTTTTTTATTATTAGAAGCACGAAAAAAAGCAAAAAAAACAATGCATGAGATTTGTATATAAGTCGAACATGAGAAGTTCAAAGAAAGAAACAGAATTTTATATAGGAGATATTCTTAACCTATGACGTACAGTTTCCGAACAAGGATGTGGGTGTGTGGGTGTCGGGTGTCCGGTTGCGTGCGGGTTTGACTATTTGTTACTACACCCACACCCACACCCACACCCACCCCACACCCCACACCCACACTAAACCGTCTGGGGAGCATCTTGCCGGTTACCATTGGAACAAAAAGTAACATTGTGTATTGATTTTTACAGTGTTCAATCATGGTTATGATGTAGAAAACTAGATTTAAAACATGCTATATCGAAATATGTTTGCGTAATAGAAAAGGCTTTGTAAAGAAAAAATGTTTCATATTAAAATTATCTTCAAAACCTCGACTCGTAGTGAAATGAACACGAACATGTGCTCCAATCAATATAAGATGATAGATCTGAGCTAGCCAAGAGTGTCTCCTTATTTACGAACACGAATATAAGCAACATTAATTATTTTTTAATTGGTTTCGTATGTTGGTTTTATCATAATATTAATATTTTATTATTGAGTGAGTATACTTGAAAAGAAGATCCTCTTCATTTAAATATTTTTTGTTTTGAACATAAATACAGTTGATCATGGTGAATTTTTGTCTGTTTAAACTTTAATTCCAATTTATAGCAACCACTAGATGATAGATAAAAGCTTGACAGAAATAAGCTATACATAGTGACAACAGTACCTGGTGCACAGAATGAGCAGTAATTTATTGTAATGCAGAACAAAGTTAACAGTTTTATGCTTGATTAATAGTTCTTGTTGATGTTAATTATGTGTAACGACATTCCTTATTCGAACAAACATACGAATCAATTTTTTACAGTCAGTAGATTAAACGACTATGCTAGAGTAGTTTTCGATTATCCACATGATCAGAGCACGATTTTATTCGTGTGAACTATTAAAAAGGTTTAAGGCACGGATGAAAAAATTTTCTCATTAAATTGAATTTTTGAATTAATAAATGAACAATCTTTTTGTTTTCAAAAAAAAACTACCATAAATATAACAGACAAATAGTATAGATGCTATCAAAGTTTTAAATTATTTTCCTTCACTTATGTTTTTCAGGTAAACCATCGACGATTGCCTTTGTAGTTTGTGCAATTACAATAATAGCTTGCACTTTTCGATTTATGGTCTTCTGATTTCCTACAAATACTCTTGATGATTTGTATCGAGTTTCATTAAAACCAAATATTCGCAGGAGTTCTCGACGATAAACATGTCCAGAGAGAATATATAGAAAAAATGAAATAAAATAATCGCTCTGTTGCCATGTTACAAAAGCGAGACGTAAAGCTATAATACTTGGCGTATTTGTCGATGATCGAAATGAATTCATTGTATACGTAATTCCAAATGGAAGTACGAGAATAAGATGAATAATAATTTGAAGAAACAACATTTTAGTTAATTGTCTTTGGGTGCGTCGACCTCGCATAAACGTTTTCAAAGCCAATATATCAGGCGATCGCTTACGAATTTTATTGATCGTCATCAGACCAAATAGGGTCATTAATATAGGTGTTACAATATAATACAAAAATATTTGACTAAAAATATAAATACGCACTAGAGCATTTGGATATAATAAACATTTTTTATCGATTTCATTCCAATTATAGGTAGTAAGCATCGGTAGCATATAGAGTGCAGATCCTATAGTACTGATTACAATAAGCATTCTTGTCTTTCGAATTTTAATTTTTGAACCCAGCCGACTCAGTTTTAGACTTGAACAATAGCGATCGAATGAAGCTAAAATAATCATTAGATTAGCTTGGAATGGAATTAGAAACAAAATATACGCATGTGTTTTACAGCCAATATAATTATTTGCCCAATTAATAGAAAAACCACGTAGGAATTGTGTCGGACACAATATACCATTATAAATAATGCTGAATACAGCATAAGCTAAGAAATAATGTGTGCATGGCGATGAACGAAGAGCACGCGAACATAAAATACGCATATTGAGAGTATTTGTTACGAGAGATAGAAAAAAATAAATAGGCTGTATATAAATATTCGTTCGAAGTACTTGAGTAATAATATCACTCATATTCAAAATAAATATGTAGAATTCTTATTCTATTGATTCTTGTCTTTAAGTTTTACGGATCTCTTACTTTAATAACGATAGAATGACTATTTTGCATTCATGTGACGACTATCATAAATGGAACGTCAAAGATAGCTTTTCAAATTCATTTATAGATCTGAAGTTTTCAAGAACATATCATTATGATAATGAACATAATAAACTGATGCAAAAAAAAGTGAACGATTAAAAACGAGAATTTTATCTAGACTAGACGCAATGGGGAAACTTCAAGAATACGGCTGATGTAACTTTTTATTCTTGATTAGGCTGCGTAGCCTATTATGAATTAATCATTTAGTCCTATGCAAACTATTGACAGTAAAAAAGAAAACTGTTTCTATGAAATCATTAATTAATGCGATGAGAAGCAGAAGCATTTCTGTAGTTCGTCGCGAGTTTTTTTTCTTTTACTTTCTCGACGTAAGATCTTTTTCGTGATTTTGTGCCGCAATGATCTCGAGAACGGAAAATCATAGAAATGTCGTTAAAACGTAAGATAGCAGTATCGACATCGAGCCTTTTACATCTGTTTCCGAATCTTTAAACTGAAGTTCCGTTTACTCACAAATGTGGTTCCAAAATGACGAAAATGAAAGAAATTTGTTGCGAGATAATTAAAGTGACGTCATGAACATATGTTAGCCACTATAGGCTATTCATTTATAGTTGATCTAAGATAATGAATCATGGAGATAATTAATCGATCAATTGAAATCGATCCTTAAGAATGTATCACTAAGTAAAAATAGAGTTTCCTCCGTGATGAATTTCATCATGTCGACATAAAAAGTATTCAAGATCAGGAATTCTTTTTGACAAACTGGTGAAAAAAAACATACCGATAATTAATTTTCAATAGTGCATTCTTAAAGTCAAAAATAAGGATGCATCAATAATCGCAACAGAATACAGATAAAATTATGTTAAACGTTGTTTTAATCTAGAGAAAAGATTATCTTCTGTCTTATTATGAGTTTAAAAACCAGTATAGTCTAATTTCTCACTTTTTTCTGCATCTGGCTACCCCTCCGCCTCGTTTTCCTCTTTTTTAAATCCTCTTACTAGTCTTTTTTAAATCCTCTTGCTAGTCTTTTTTAAATCCTCTTACTAGTCTCTTTTTTATAAAAAAAAAAAAAAAAAGAAACTAGACTGAAGTAAAAACTGATTAGCTAGAAGGATTTTTCAGCAACAAGAGGTTGAATATATGATTGTAAACACTTTGTTTTTGGTGTTTTTCTTTTTCATCGCAACATGGCGGTAAATCTAGGGAAATATCACATGCAACTATAGGAGATGGAGCAAAGAGCTAAAACGGAATCCAGTTTTATTAAGATAGTCGAACACAGTTAAACATTCAATGGAAAATAATCGACTAAATCTCAATCAACTTCTACAAAAGAAAATGTCCGTTGTAAAGATAAAATGAATGTTGCAAAGGCTGGACAAGTGCAAGTACAAGTGAAAATACTTGTTACTTACTAATTGTACTTTGAACTTTTACTCATGTACAATTACTTAAGTACATTTGTACTGAGTACCGGTACTCAAGTACATTTGTACTTAAGTAAAATTACCAAATACATTTGAAACATTTATATGATCATCGATACATCAGTACTTGACACTTGTACTTAAGTACATTCGAGAAGTACAAGTAAATTTACTTGTACTTCTAAAGTATACTTTGTACTTACGATTTCTAAGTAAAAAGTACGAAAATACTGAGTAATTGTACTCAGTATCCAGTCTCTGGAACGTTGTTAGATTGTTTGACGTACCCCTAATTCAATTACAATATAACATAGCGTATTTTCTCTTAATTATACTTGCACTAACTGTTTTTTTGTCAATTGGATCACTGCTCTGCGATATACGCCTTATATTTCTTTTTTTTCATTTGAACTTCTTCTTTTCTGGTCGTGATACTAAATCTTAACATATATTCAAAATAACTGCCAAACAGACATAAAAATGGATTCATTTCTCGATGTTGAAGTTTTAGACCGTAAACACACTACACGGATTAATACTGAATTAAGCAGTGTAGCTGGTCAATTCAGATTTAAATCATCTTTTTTAAACGAATTGTTGGTTAATTCTGTATTAACTCGTATAGCGTTTACGGTCTTAGCTTTACTTACTGTTTTTTGGAAATGGAAAACACAGCCGCCTCCTTTTTCTCTCTTTTTTTTATTAAAAATCCTCTTTATTCCTTTTTTCTAAAGCAGACCCTAGATGAGAGGCCAGACTGTATCCTTCAACGCAGAATAAAACGACATATGATATCACGATGAAATTAGTTTACCTAATCTATTAAATCCAAACATGATCCGCCATATATATTAATGTATAATCAGAGATCCATTGAATGTAATTACAATAATGACCCTATTCTGAGAATGAGTACAAATATGTTGGAACATCAATTTCTAACTGTCTTTGCATTTTAGGGACCTTCTTATCTGTTAGAAAGTACTATATACGAAAGTAGCAAAAAAAGGTCAATGGAAGAAACCAACGTTCGACTGTCATCTACTCGTCCTTGTAGAAAAGCATTCGTTGTATAAGTGATGATTAAGCAAATCTGTCAGTACGTCATCTTATTCGTCTTCGATTCCAACAAATACGTTACATCAATTAATAGGATTGCACGAAAAAATTATAACTTACGCTAATAAATATAATTATTTACATTTCAGAACTAGTTTAGAATAGTACTTTAATTAACTCAGTTTCTTCAATGAGACTATTCTGATATTTTGCTAACTGGAATGAAAACAAAACAAAATTTGACTAACATCATCGTATTGTAAATTTGGCATAAATGTTTATGTATGGACGAGCATTGGTATTGTTCTTATTTGATCAAAAATATAAAAGTTGAGAGAAGATCACAGCGAAATGTTACTAGTAAAATATAAATTCTTTATTCAATTTAATATTAATCTAAACTCACCCATTTCCATATAAAAATCCGAGTTTTTATCAAAATGCAAATAATACTTATAACATCGTTTTATTCATTTGGTGAGACTTGAGGTGTGCTGGAAAAATGTCGAAAGTGAAAAATAAAAAAACAATGATGCCCCAAGTATATGGCGATTGTAACCACATATACTTCATTGTTTTTTCTTATAATTCTACTAGTGTAGGATTTTAGTCAGTGCTGATAGGGATGACTAACTATTGATACAATTAAAATAGAGGAGTTGAATAAAGTAACAACAACTAATAAGTATTGGATACGCACTATTAATTATTGTGCAGCTAAAGTGCATACTGGTTCAAATAATCGATTGATGAAAACTGTTTGCAATCATAGTCATCTTCCAGGAAAAGAAAAACTTGAGGTTCGTGAAGCTCGTGAAAAAATGACATATTTAAAAAGAACTTTTCTCACCCTTAACATTTCAGCTTAAGTTCATACAAAAAGCAATCACTATATTATTTACAATTCTCTAAAATATTAACTGACAATGTTTCATGTCAATATAATTTTTTCGACATTTTTCCTTTCGACATTATGACGGCCAATCAGTTTTGATGACTCTTCATGTAATAAAAACTGTTTTGTTTTCATTAGTGAAAAATATAAATTAGAGATTCGTAACCTTTCTATCAGCACTCTACCATAAGTATATTTTCTACATGCAATTATTATTAATTTGTATTCAGAAGATTTTTTTCTAAAATTAAATAAATAATAAGATATCGCCATTTTGAAATGTAAGTTATACTATAGCTGCTGTTTATTACCGCTTTTTCTATGCAAGATTATGATGAGCATTTCTTGATGAGGCAACAGCTGGAAAAATATAAAAAACACTGTCTGTCGATACCGACACTTATTCAGTGCGTTTCATCCGATGTTCGAAATCATTTCGTTCGGACTAAAATATTCGCCGCATCGATATCAAAATAGCGTAAAATTGTGTTGGATGTGTCAACGACAGGATTATAATGAGCGAAACGACTGCGAGACCACATTTTCCTAGTTCTAAATTCCGTCTGGGTTGACAAAGTTTTCATTTTGAGTCGTATTTCTGGTTCAATAAAGAAAACGACTTTGTTTTTTATGTAGATGATTTTTTTGAATTAGCTTAGAACTCAAATTCATTGTTGAGATATGAGAGCGTTCATTCGTTCATTAGAAAGATACAAATTTCCTGTAATCAAGTAATTGTAATTTAAAATCTAGTAGCTTATGAATTTTATTTCAGTTGTAAAAGATCATAGTTAGAGATCAAAAGAAAAACTAAAGTTCACTGTAAACCGATCGAATGCAAGTGTCACATTAGTTTTTACGCTTCATAATTAAATAGTCAAATTATGGTTTTGGTGCTGTATACGATAATTTAGTGGTAGCAATAGGAACTTATTGTATTGTTTCAGCTTGTTGAATGATAGATCGGTCTATTCTATGATTTTGATGTGTGCCAAGTTTTAATATACGAGCAAGATGCTTGCGATAGGTACTGTCAGAAAGGAGATAAAGAAAAAACGATACAAAACAATCACACTGTTGCCATATGACTAATATGTGACGGACAGCTGAAGTATTCGATGGTTGTGTTGATGGTTTAAATGAATTCATACTATAAATAACACCGAACGGCATAGTAAGAATCAGATGAATACCTATCTGCAAAAGTAACAGTCGAGTTAATTGTCTTCCGGTTCGACGGTGGCGTACGATCGATACTCGAGGTCCAATGCGAGCGGCTAGCTGTCGAACATTAGATATAGTTAGCAAACCAAATAGAATCATTAGTATAGGCGCTAAAATATAATAGAGAAGAATCTGACTGAAAATATACATATTAATTAGTAAATTGGAGTATTGCAAACATGCACCGGGTGTTTCTTCCCTATGGTAGATAGCCACCAATGGTGACATGTAGATGATAGATATTATTGTCGTAATTACAATTATTAATCTTGCTGATTGTATTTCACTTATTACGTGAAATCGATGAGAATGAGAACTCGAACAGTAGCGATCAAACGAAGCTAATGTAAGCATGGTTCGTGCTAAAAACGGAGCTAAAAGCATAACATAAGCTCGTATTCTACATCCGACTAGACTAGTTGACCAATCGATGTGAAAATGGAGTAGAAACTCGGTCGGACATATCAAGCAAGTATATATGATATTAAATATTGCATAGGCGAGAAAATAATGCGTACATGCCGATAAACGAAGGTCATGAGAACATAAAACACGTACATTAATTGTATTCGTAATAATCGAAAGAAAAAATAGCACTGGTTGTAGATAAACGTTGATTTCAAGTATTTTAGTGAGTAGGTCGGTCATATCTAATTAAAATATCTTGAAAAACATATTTAATTGGCAATAGGCAAAATATTTGTTCTTGACCTTAGTTTATATCAACAGAAATTAATGAATAAACGTTTAGTCTATAGAAAATTCTTAAACAAAAGTAATCTATATTCTCTTCAAATTTCTGGCATATTCATGAAAGCATTCTGAAAAAGGATGTGAACACAAAAGATGCTTGAATTATTCCCTTGTGATAATGATAGATGTAGTTATAAGAAAAATATAAATGACTTCCGCCTAACTGCACAGATCTAATCGAGATGATCAATATGAAAAGATCAGAATCTTTCTGTTTTTCTATTTGGAGAAGTTTGCCAAAATAATACGAAATAAGTATTTATCTATGATGACGATGCCATAACATTACCATCGTTACTTAGTGGAATTTAAGAATTGATTCGTACTTTGCTAAGGAAATGGATCATTATCAAAATAACATGAAAACAGAAATATTAATCAGAAAAAAATAAAATGAAATCAATAATTATAATAAATAAACTTCTTCTTTCTCCTATGCAATGTACCCAAAATATACCTAACTGAATACATTTGTGTCACTATATTATAGTATACACATGTCATAATTTACTAGTTTCATTTCAATAGTGAATAATTAAGATAGATGCCATGAAATTAAATAGCAGCTGCTATAGTAGTAATTAAAATAGTTATTCTTAGTATTAGTATTATGCTTTTCTAATATAATCTGTATGGTTGTGTACTAAAATAAAAAGGACCCATTTTCACGTACATATAAACGAGCTAGAAAGAAGAGACATGAAAAGGATCATCAAAGAAAATCTTCAGATGATTTATATAATCAGTTCTTGTTAATCTTTTAGAAAAAAGAAGTTCGCAGGAACCAAAGTTAACAGTTTAGATAATATTCAAATTCATTAAAAAAACGGAAGATTTTCTTGTGACGCTTACGTCTACATTACAATGAGAGAAAAAAAAGCAAAGCCTTAAAATAAAACTACTGTTCTAAAATATTGTGTATATTTTGTAAAGTTCATTCGATGAACTTTCAATAGATATGGTGTAGGCTTTTTTCTCATCAAATTATTGCGCCCTATTTTTTACTGATTCAACTCGTATTAGATTCTATGTGAATGATATAAACAAATAGTATAGAAGACAAGAAAAAAATCGATCTATATTCACACTTTGTACAAGATAAATTGGCAAAGAGAGCATTTAAATGAAAGAAAATGATGAGTAAAAACTGATACGATGGAAAATTATTGTACACATAGATGCTTCTTGTATAAATAGTTTACTGTAAAACTATGTTATTTGTTCATAATAATAGTAAAATAACTTACATAGTATCGAGCAGTAATTATTCTATAGACTTCACAGAGAGACTCATTTTACACTTCGTTTATATTATTCAAAAACAAAACAAATAGTATGATCAATTTAGTTTCTCACGAACATTCAAATACAAAAAAATAATCTTTATAGTTGACAGATAATTTAAAAATAATTTTTTCTTCAAATATCTTTTAATAATCGACCGGATTTCCTTAATTCTTCTGCATGCGTTTTTTCTGGTTCCGATAACCAAAATAGATTATTTTCTAGGAGACCAGCTAAAACGAAAGCATGACCCATTTTTGGTTTTTTCATATTAATAACTTGTTCTAATGTATAATCTTGTCCTAAATGATCCCATCCATCAAAATCTAATAATCCCATTGGTCTTTTATGTTTATCATTTTGATCTCCACAACAATATTTTATATAAACTTCATTTAATTTTCTATATGCGTCTGTTTGTTCCACATATTTTGCATATAATGGCGCGTAAATTGTTTTACGTGCTTCGATATAATTCAATTGTTTTCCATTCCATAAAGAGTATAGAGGTTTAACTGCTATGCGTCCAAGTGGAAAACGATGTGGTTTGGAATCATTCCAACCCTCCTCGGCCCATTTCCAATAGGCTTCTGATGGTGAATTACCATCGATATCAGTAAATTGTTTATAGACTTTACAAAATTGCCAAGCATTTTCCATATTTTTCGCAATCAGCATTTTACCATCTTTACTATTTGGATATAACTCGATCGGACCTAAGAGAAATGGACTAAATTCTAAACACCATTTTTCTTTTGTTTTAGATGTAACATTAAACATAAGCCAATTCTCATTGGTTACACATGCTGGTTTAGGACGGCGCATGGCAAATATTCGTATGTGATCTAAGGATAATAATAATGATGAATGACGATTTTCTTGAGAATGAATTGTATCTCCCATATTCGTTTGTTTTGCTTGTTTAGATACTTTGTCAGGAAATTCATTTTTTCGTTTTTTAGTTGCTGCACACGCCATGCTGCTTTTAATTCTAATAAAACTTAGAATTTTATGTCTGTTGAGTAATATTGTAATGTCGCAATGTAATTACGAAAATACTAAAGAAAAGGAAAAGAGAGAAAAAAAATATGTCAGTATGGTAAGTTTAATAGAAACACGTGGCAAAAGGTGCGTCATCATTCTGTTGCAAACCAATCAAAGTAGAAATTGCAATGGAGATGATTTCTACAACGTTTTACTATTCATTACACTTGAAAAATAAATCATATAATAATTTGTTTTATTGAGTGATTGATTCTTAAAAACAAGATTGAACAGTTTATTAGAATTTGAATGCAAAATTCAGAGGAGTATTAGTTTTATTTAGACAATATTGAAGGACAGAAGAGAAAGCCAAAGTAAACTCTAGTTTTTAACAATTGGAAGACTATATACGAATTCGATCATAGTTTATGCATGATTAGGTCGGAGAATCATCGATGAAAGCCCAAATGTAAAGCAAATGAATAAGAGGTAACAATATACTGAAAAACAATAATGAAGAACACCTTTTGAACAAACAAAATCGGGAAATGATATATTTTGTCGCGTGATTTTGTCTATGGTTGATTGGTTTAATGGATATGTTTGATTGTTATCTTCGACTGATATCCAACCATAAATAGGATAATTATCATTGATGTAGTAGCTACCATTTAGCAATACATACGGAATTTCTCGAGAATAATTACCTAACCAATAATTAGCATCATAGTTTTGTTCGGCAACACGAATAGAATTAGGTAGAACATCGACTATCACCGACACATGTCCATACGGCATATCTGTACCTAATTTATAGATGAGTAAAGATTCATTTGTTGGTCGAGTTTTCGAACCATCCGATTGTTTTTTAAGAGTAAAACATTTGCCACCGACGACCTGTTGAACAATAGATATTTGAGTCCAAATATCCGTTGCAGCAACGACACTATCAAACGTGCACCCTTTACGAACGAAAAGCCATCGACGAGCGTACTCAACACATTGCCATTTCATCCCAGTGTATACACCATAAAGATAGTTTGATTGATTGGAAATATATGTATCATTTCCATTCGAATAGGCTGGTACATTAATTGATGCTATGCCAGACATTGCACCATAGGGTGCATATGTTTCATTACCGAATAACTTTGTATTCACTAGAAAAATCAAAAGAATATGGATAAAAAACACGTGAATGATGTTGAGATAATCAGTGTGTAGAGTGAAATGCTATTTGAAAATTCCAATGTAGAATGTACATTTATTTTTGTGTACTTTAACTGAAGAATATTCGGCAACTGTAACTATAGAAATATTTAGTTCTAAAGTTTTCTGGTCTCTTCGTAGCAATATTACGACATCTATCGATTCTGTGATTCATAGATTAAAGTCTATGTTGAACTTGCATAGATTAAATATAACTGTCAGCGACAAATCTTTAGAGATGTCCGAAAGTTAGATCCAAGTGTTGTTTTCTGAAAACTGAGTTTCTTTATCTAATTTTCCACAATTTTTTCTTCTCTAGAGCTACAGTTCAAAATTATCGTCTGTATGATGTAGAAACTTACGCGAGTTCGATGTCAAGTCGAGCTTGATTAATGGATTAACATTGTTGCATTTCAAGGACGAATAAAGACTTGCAAAAAGTAAGATGGTAAGCGTAGATTTCATAGCTAAATAGTATAAAATCGATCTGAAATGTCGACAGTCAAATAATATTGAATGTTAATGATGAAAGGGTAAAGCAATAAAATTCGAAATGTTTCACGCAAGGTTTCCAACAGAAGCTAATAGAGAATATTAACAGGAAAAAAATTCCATTTTATTTGCTTCGATGCTAGTAAAATCAATATTAATATAGAGCCAAAACATTTTTACTCTCGCTGTTATTTACTTTCATTTTTCTTGATATGGTAGGCAAAATTTTAAGCAAAGAGCAATATGTCAATTTGTATGCTAACAATTCTAAAGGCAAAACATATCGAATCGAATCAAATTTTATGTTTACCGTCGAACAACATGACGAAAGTGCTGTCAGCAATGAAAAGACGCTTAACAAAAATACTCACCGCGCTACCACATTCTCACATTGTGACAAACTATGTAAAACGTTTTACCCAAAAAAGTGGCTATTAAGTACTTTCCATACTTTTTGATTAAAAAGTAAGAAAAGTATGATAAAGTACTATAAAAAGTGAAAAATAGTAAGAGAAGTTACTTTATTACTATTAAAAGTGATTAAAAGTGACTTTCGGTTCACTTTTTTTCACATGGAAACCTCTCGATTCGAATCTGGTAATATTTTAAGCAAGTTTCCAGCTTCTTTAGCTTCTGCAAATAATATATTATTGATTATGGTATGGATATATACGTATGCCTTGCTAACCATGGTAGATCTTCTACCGGCATTGTTGTATGAGAATTTTTTCTAGCGTATGTTATTGTATTATTTGTAGGCTGGTTAGTAATGGCATTTTGGAATTGGTCGACTGCTGTATGATCTTTTGATACGAGCTGCTTTGATGGTAATATCTGGTACGCGATATTTAGAATAAGAAAGCTATCGATTAACTGGATAGATATTAATCTATTGGATAGGCGTTAAGAAAATATCATTATTGACGCTTGCGGAGCAGAGAGATAAAGAACGTGGTCCATTTAAAACGCTTCAATTCATGTTGCGATAGAAAGAATCGTGTTGATCTATTTTAACTGTGGTTGTTCTTTATTCAAAGTTGAAAGACACTTGCAACCTTCGTTTTATTGCTCGTGAGATAAAAACATTCATTTTTTTCCTCTATTGATTATCATAGTTTACTCTTTTTTTGTATGTTTTATTCTAATTTCATCCAAGACAAGCGTTCATGAAGTGACGATCATCATACCTATTCAAAATTTAATCAGGAAAATACCTTAATTTTTACATAGAATATGACTTTCGTTTACCTTTCCTTATTCTAAACAATCGATCGCATAGCTACTGATAATCCTGCATTGAGAAAAGTGCCTCGTTTTCGAATTCACATGACTTCATGAACCTACTGCGACGGAAATAGATGTGTTCAGTTGTTTACACGAAATTAAACAGCCAAGAAAAAAAACGATTACGCAGAGTTGAATCTGTGTCCAATGAAAAATGAAATATTTTCGTCAATGCTTTTTTTATATTAGACGATGTGAGCATCGAAGTTTTGATATAGGGCACCGTTCATTTCTGAGGGGCATCATTCCATTGTGTTACTGCCATCTTTTGAGGTTTTCGCTACCATAAAGATCGGTCATTGATGATTGAACATGTGTTCATCGTCCACGCAAATCAAAACGAAAATGAAGTTCTTAATAAACAAGTAACGCGACGTAAGTGTCGCTAATCCTCTACTGAAATGGGTGACGATGTTTGATAAATAATAAACAAATAATACAAGTTTTGACGTAATAATTCAGCAATGCTATTTTCCATGTCTCTATGTAGTGATAAGTGTATCCAACATATTAGCTATTGTGTATAGCTGGATGACCTTTTATTTGTGTTGTTCCATGGGAACTCAACCAAAAAAGCACAAAGTATTCAAAATTTTTTCGTTTTCGGCTGGTTTTGTAGAGCTCATTTCGCTGATCATTTTAGTATAAAACAAAATTAAAATTCATAAGTAAAAAAAATTTTATAGCGAAAATACTAAAACTGGTTTTTTATTAAAAATACCTTAGGTTTTTCGGTATTTTGGCCCTAGCGCAGTTATTTCTATATATTTTTTTGAAAAAAGTATACCAAAATGTTCAGCTCAATCAGCTCTACAAGATAAGATATTTTCAAATTACTTAAAAATATTTTTCATTGATTTACTTAAGTAAATGCGCTAAAAAAGTAGGTGCCTTTATTTAAAAATGGCTACATTCTGCTGGAATCTAAAGTATAGGGTTTTGTAGAGCGAAACGCGCTCTACAAAACTCTGTATACCGTTTTTCATATAGGGCCAGAAACCTT